ATACTCATTACGCCCCATCACCACCAACCACCACCCCCACCCCCTACCCCACCACCATCACTATCATCCTAGCCACAACCCCCACCCCCATGCCATGGTTACACCTACCACCATCCCATCGCGTACCCTGTTTCCTCTTCCTCCTCCTCCTCCTCCTCTCCTCGCTCTACCTCACCCCCATCCTCATCCCCGACCCTGACACCCATACCCCTCAACCATCACAAGTCATACTGCCGATCCTCCAACCAACAGCATTCTCAAACCACCCAGCCCCGACCCCGCCTCCTCAGCTGGCCCTGCCTCGCCGACCACCAGCCACCAGCCGTCGCCCGCTCGCCCGATCAGCCCACCTTCACCACCACCTAGCTCCTTCCCATCATCAGCTACGCAACCCGCGACCACATCCAAGGTCATCACTCGTTCTTAACTAGCTTCAGTACCAATATCGCTGTCATCCATATCCATTTACCTCGGCTCATTTCCGCGTCGGCTTGTTTGCCCTAGGTGGTTGAGCACGTCCTCGACCGTCCGACCCCGCACATGCCCCACACCAACCTCATTGCAAGATATGGCCAATCTGATTTCACTACTACCCTATTACATACACCCACTACCCCTATACACAGTCTCCAATCCACAGCTGCTGTATTCCGGAATCCGACTTTCGCCGGCTCAGGCCCAAGTTGTTGGCCCTGTGTCCCTTTGATGCTGCTCACCCCCCTCCCTGGGCCCATCTCCGACCCCCACTCCCCACCATCTCCACCCACAACCACCACACCAACACCCCACATACCCATTACCTCTGCAAACATAGCCACCCACGCAATGTATCGCCAAACCATGTAGATGCTCCGGTCGACGACATGACCACGATAATCGAGTTTCACGTATTGTCCGATATCGCGGTGTTTACCTTGATCCTTCGCAACAGCGACATCCAACTCGCCAGAGGCTGTTTATAGCTCACTTGCGCTTCTTACCCTTGCCCTTGCCCTTGCCCTTGCCGTTCTTGCCGCCACCGCTCACCGCCGCCCGCGCGTTCTTGACAGCTGCACGGACCTTGGCCTCCGTCCGCGCGATCTTACGCTGCGACTCGGCCGGAACGACCGAGAGCGAGGCAAAGGTCGCCATGTCGGTGTCGCGCGCCCTCCCGCTCGACTCGCTTCCCGAGTCCGAGTACGACGACTCGTCATCGTCCGAGTCGTTCCACTCGCCGGGCGCGGCCTTGGGCTGGTCGAACGCATTGCCGGTCGGGCACGTCGGCCGCGGGATGCCGGCCTCGCTCGCCACTCCCTCGTACCGCTGCCGCAGCGCCCTGGTCGAGAACATGTCAAACACGTTGAGCGCGCCCTTAGACCCGCCGGCTGCCATGATAAACGGCGAATCCGGGAAGAACGTGAGCGCGTACGGCTCGCCCACACGCATCCGCTTCGACGCGTACACCAGCGAAGGCTCGTCGCTCGCCACATCCCAGAACTTGACCGTTTTGTCTGCAGATCCCGTGGCCACGCTCCCGGGCACCGCCGGGTTCACCGCCATCGACGTGATGCTCTTCTCGTGCGCGTCGATCACAAACAGCGGTCCTGCACCCGCTGCCCGTGCGTCAAACGCATACAGATTGCCGTCGTCGCCCGCCACAAACACGCGGTATCCGAGCACCGGGTCCCACGCCACAGACTCGGGGTCCGCTGCCAGCTGCGCAAACACTGCCCCGCTCCCGGCACGCGCGTCCACGAGCGCCAGCGTCCGGTCGTACGACGCCGTCAGCAGTACGTTGGCCTCGCTCGGGTTCCAGCTCACGCAGCTCACCTTGTCGCTGTGGTGCCGCAGCGTCGACACCGCACTGCCCGACGACACGTCCCACAGCTTGACACACTCGTCCGCAGAGCCCGACGCGAGCACTTGCGCAAGCTCCGGGTTCCACGCCAGCGCCAGCACCGCAGACGTGTGCGAGCCAGCCGCGAGCTCGGGCTCCACCCCGCGCATCGGCCGTGCGCTCGGGTCGGCCACCCCTCCCAGCACCACGTTCGGCTGGATGATGTCCACCACGTTGCAGTCAAAGAGTTCGATGCCCGGGTTGAACGTGCCCACCGCCAGAATCGACGCCGTCCCGGCCCCGGCCTTGGGCCCAGCCTGCGACGGGTCCGCCCCGTCCACGCCGTGCAGATCGGATACGAGTCGAGCACAATGTCGTGGTGGATGTACGCATGCCCGTACGCCTCCTGGTACACGTAGAACTCGATCTTCGACAGCTCCTCCGTCGTCCGCCCAGCACAATCATCGCGTCGTCCGCCTCGAGGTTGATGTCCTCGATCGAGTCCACGTCGTCCTCGTCCTGCACCGTCATGTACGGGTCCTCCGCGTTCGACGCGTGGTACATCCCACCCATCGTCGTCACAAACGGCAGGTCTGTCACATGCATCTCGCCCTCAGAGTCTGACCCGGAAATCGCCCCGATCGCCCGCAGCATCTCCTCGTCCGAGTCAACCTCGTCGTTCTTGCCACCACGCCGCCGGCGCTTGCCCTTGCCCTTGCCCTTGCCCTTGCCCTTGCTCACGCTTGAGCCCTGCGCGTCGCCGTCGCCGTTGCCACCGCCGCTGCTGCGCCCGCTCGCTCCCGGCATGCCGGACATCGCCTTGAGTGCCTCCACATCGGCTGCGTCGAGCACCACCCGCGACGGCTGCAGCGAGAAGCCTCCACGCGGAATCCACTCCAGGCATGTCACCACAGACAGGTCCTCAGCAGTCACAAGTTGCGCCATCCTTGGTCTTGACCAATGTACTGTTGCGCGAGTAAGGTGTGTCGTTACGCCCTCCCTCCCTCCCTCCCTTCCTCCTCATCCTCCACCGCCCCTCCCTCGCTGACTTGGATGGATGGATGGCCGAGCCCACCCGCTAGCCACCCTTCACCCTCACCCACCGCCCACCACAAAAATATTTCCCCAGCACCCCCCACCCCCCATCACCCATCCCTTTCAAACCGTTGCAACCAATCAAACTCTTCTCCAACTACTCACGCGTGCCGGGACCGGCTTCCCTCTCCACCACCCTCCCCTCCACACCCTCCCCAAACACCGCACACATACACACACACACCCCACCTCTACCATCTCCCTCCCACCATGCCCACAGCCACCCTCCTCTGCCTCCTCTGCCTCGCTTCCCTCCTCGCCCACCTCCTCGTCGCCTCCTCTCCTCCCTCCTGTCCGGCCCCTCCTCCTCTCTCCTCCACAGCCGCTCAGGTCAACATCTTCGGCCCGTCATCGTCCGAGCGCATGCTCCTGCTCGATGTCGACGCAGATGGCGTTATGGAGGCTATCCGCTATGGAACCTCCGGTCTTCCGCTGCTCCACACCCAGACCTCGTCGGCTCCACCGTACTTTACCGGCCCGGGCACTCCGCTCGGCGGCTTTGTCACCATCAACGCCAACGCGCTCATCCATGTGCCCGCAACCGCCGGGGACGTCAATGGCGATGGCCATGTCGACTTTGTCCAGGTCGACTCGAGTGCGCGCAACATCGTTTGGTTCGCAAATGATGGCGCCGGTACCTTTTCTGGCCCCTTTGACTTTTCGCCGGACACCTCGTACACCGGCTCCGACAGAATCCGCCGCATCATCATTGCTGACGCAGACGGAGACGGCGATGCTGACATTGTCTTCTTTTGCGAAGACGAGGGCTGGGGCTGGCTGAGAAACAACGGCATCGCCACTGACGCCACTCTCATCGTCGTCGACTCGGATGACTACTTTGACGGCGACGTCGGTGACGTCAACGGCGATGGCCTGCCGGACGTCATCGCCACCCGTCGCGGTGGCTCGACTCGCATCTATCTCTCCGACGGAAGCGCGCCTGGTATTGCCGGCGGCATCGATGCCTCCCTCAACTTTTGGCGCTACTCGCCGCAGCTCGTCGACCTCGACTTTGACTCGGACCTCGATCTGCTCGAGACAAACTCGGCCGACGTTGCCAACGTCTTCATCAACCCGGGCTCTGGCCTCTTCAACACCGTCCCGGAAATCCGCGTTGTTACAGACACCCCCAACCGCCCGCGGCTGGTCGGCCCCGTCGACCTCAATGGTGACGGCCTGTGGGACCCGGTTGTCGGCGGCTACGACGGCAGCGCCGGCCTCTACTACGCTGACTCGCGCTCGGCCTCGGGCAAGGACTATGCCCCGACCGTCCAAGCCTCGTCCACTCAGACCTCGGCCGTTTTTCTCACAGACCTCGGCGGTGACGGCGTCCGCGACTTGGTCTCCAACAACGGCGTCGCATGGCCGGCTGCCGGCGTCGGCGACTTTCCGCTCTCGTCGCTCGACTCGCCCTTCGCCTCCTCGCTTGCCCCGATTGTCGTCGCAGACTTGACCGGCGATGCCTTTCTCGACGTCGTTGTCGGCGCCGCCGAACCGGGCAACCCGCTCGTTCTCTGGGCCAACAATCTGGCTTCTGGCTTTGTCTCGGGTGGCGCCATCACCGTCCTCGCAACCTCCCCCGGTTACTCAGTCGGTCTGCTCGCCCTCGATGCCACCGGCGACACTCTCCTCGATCTCGTCGCTGTCTTCAACTCGTCGTCAGACCTGTACATCGCCGCCAATCTCGGCGAGGGCCGCTTTGACGCTGCTGTCCCACTCATCGTCCCCGTCCCCGCCCTCGCCGGACCTCCACGCGGCCTGGTTGGTTGCTCCGCCAATGCAGACATCAATCCCGACATTGCCCTCTTTTCAGACACAACTCTCGTCGTCGTCTTTGGCCCCGACTTTGCTGCCTCGGTTACACTCACTACCTCGGCCACAGACATCACTGCTGTCGTCGCCGCTCCCTTCACCGCACACTCCCGCCTCGCTAGCTACTCGACGCCATCCCACTTTGTCTATGCCGATGCTGCCGCCTCCACGCTCTTCTACGTCGCCGCCTCCGGCCCGGGCACCTTTGATCCCCCGATCCCGATAGCCAGCACCGCAGGCCTCGCAGCCGGCGTCTCCGCCCTTGCGTACGGCCGCCTCTCCGGCGAGGACGAGTCTCTCGATCTGACATTTGCCACCCTGGCCGGCAGCGTGTACGTTGTCAACAACCCGGACGCGACCGCCACCTTTCCCTCGGCTCCCGTCAGCTACACACTCGCCGGCTCGCTGCCCATCACGTGCCTCGTCGCTCTCGACATCTCCTCCGACGGCCGAAGCGACCTCATCGTCTCGTCCGCTTCTGTCACGCAGGTCTGGCTCAATGCCCGTGATGGCACCGTCTTTGGCACACGCGTCGCCGTCGGCGGCGCTGTCAGCGGCCGCTTCGCCCTCGCCGTCGCCGACCTCAACTACGATGGCTACTACGATGTGCTCCTCGCCCACGACGCAGGCATCTCGCTTCACAAGCAACGCCCGGGCTTTGCTACCCCGACGGTCTCCTCGGCCCCGGTCACTCTCGACGCCCTCCCCGAGTGCGCCGGAGTCTTCCAGACCATGACCTGCGTTGCTGCTGCCCTCGCTCGCTTCTCGCCCTGCACTCGCAACGCCGTCATCGACATCGGCCCACTCGCTATCACCGGATGCGTTCCGCCGCTTGCCCACACCCCGCCGCTCGCAGTCGTCGGCAAGCGCGTCTCCATCGTCTCCTCCCACGGTGCCCGCTTCGATTGCCGCACCGCAGGTGGCGGCACTCTATTTGCTCTCCGCGACGGTGGCGCTCTCACTCTCGATGGCGTCTCCATCTACGGCACCTCACAGGCTCACTTTTCGCTCCCATACCCATCAGGCATCTTCGTCGGCTCCTCCGCCGTCCTCACCCTCCGCAACGCTACTGTGGCCGAGTGCTCAAACGCAGAAGCCGCTCCGCAGCAGGCGCTCGCCGGTCATGGCGGTGCACTCACCCTCCACTCTGGCGCCGTTGTCGACCTCGTCCACGTCGTCTTCCGCGCCAACACTGCCGCCTCGTCCGGCGGCGCCCTCGCCGTCTCTGGCTCCGCCGCTCTCCATCTCGATTCGGTCACTTTTGACGCCAACACTGCGCTCGGCGCCTTTGGCTCCGGCATCGGCGGCGGCGCCATCGCCATCTCTGGCTTTGACGTCTCCCTCGCCATCACCGCCTCGACGTTTTCCGCTAACCTCGCAACCGCGAGCTCTGGCGGTGCCCTCTCCCTGGCGCTCACTGGCTCTGCCAACACGCTCCGCGTCACAAACTCGACCCTACTCGGCAACACTGCCGGCGGTATGGGCGGTGGCGTCGCGCTCGTCGGCCTCGCCACCCTCGACATCGTGAGCTCGTCGCTTGATGGAAACTCGGCCGTCTGGGGTGGCGCTATTGCTGCCACGCGCACCGCCCTGGTCCTCTCGGCCCGCTCCATGTATGGCACCGATAGTACTGCTCCCGGTGGTCGTGTTGCCCTTCTCAACACCGGCATTGCAAACTCGTTTGCAGACTACGGCGGCACCTTTTTTGCCTGCGAGTCGACCATCGATGCCGAGCACGCTGTGATCACCGGCTCCTCCCACGCCGCCGTGGGTGGCGGCTTTGCCTTTTTCTGCTTTCCCCACAACGACGCCTGGCTCGCCGACCCACTGACGGCCTCACCCTCGCCGCCCACCACTGCGGGCTATGGTCCGAATCGCGCCACCTCGACAGCATCGCTCGCTCTCGAACTCCCAGTGCCGTCATCAGTCATGTCAGGCGTCGCTTTTGGTGCCGGCGCTGTCGCCGTCTATGACGGCTACGGTGCGCTAGTCCGCGACAACTCCATCGCCCTCGCCCCGACCGTCGACCAGCCCACCGTCTTTGCCGCTGCCGGCATCGCGGGTGCGCTCATCGACCCCGCCACCGGTCAAATCGCCCTCACCAATCTTGCTGTCACTGCCGTAGTGTGGACTGAAGCGCTGTGGGACGCCGGCGATCCGCTCGTCGCCATCGAGCTGCGCCGCGCCGGCACCTTTGCCCCGCCCGCGCTTTCGCTCGCCGTCGCCGTCGCCCAGTGCGGACCAAACTACGGCTCAAACTCTCTGTCGGACGCGCCGCTCCTCTGCGTCCGCTGTCCGCCGTTCACCTTTTCGTCCAACACCTCGACCGCGGCGTGCACCCCGGTCCCGACATGCGACAGTGGTGAGGACTTTGTCGACGGCGCATGCTCGTCCTGCCCGGCAAACACCGTCAGATCCGTCCACAACGTCACTGGTGAGCTCAGCGTCTGCGTTTGTGACCTGGGCTTCTGGACACCGACCGCTGCTCCCGACGTCGCCTGCCTCGAGTGTCCGGCTGGTGCAACCTGCGCTGGCCGCTCTTCGCTCCCTGTTGCCCGCCCGGAATGGTATCCCACTGGCCCGCCAACCTCGGGCAAGTTTGCCCGCTGCCCGGTGCCCGAGGCCTGCCTCGGCGCCGGCTCCTGCGCCGCCTCGTACGTGGCCGACTCGTTCATGTGCAAGGACTGTGCTCGCGGCTTTTACCGCCGTCAGGATCGGACCTGCCGCCCGTGCCCGGGCTCGTCGACCGCGCTCTTCTTTGTCCTCGTCATCATTGTCATCATTGGCTCCATCGTCGCCTTTGCCGCCGTTCTCTTCACTGCCGTCCACATCTTTTCCGGCGCCGACACCGTCTTTGGTGAGGGCGACGTGAGCGAGACTGCTTTTGCCGCGCGCCACAAGCTGGTGCCTCACGCCGTCACCGTCACCCTTATCTTCCTACAAGTCCTCGGCATCCTGGCCTCGGCTCCGTTCAACTGGCCGACCCCGCCTATCAAGCAAATCCTCGAGGCCGCCAATGTCGCCAACGTCGACCTCTCCATCTTTGCCACAGACTGTACCCTCTCGTCGTTTGTGGCCCGCTACTCGCTCTCGCTCGCCCTTCCCGCTGCCATGATCGTCACCATCGCCGCCATGATTGCCATCGTCAAGCTAGTTCCGCACCTCTGCGCCTTCCGCAAGCTCGCCATCATCGCCGCCGTCCCCACGCGCGCCATTGCCGAGCGCCTCCTCTTCACCTTTGGCCCCATCATGTACATCCCGCTCTGCCGCGCCACCCTCGTCTACTTTGACTGCACGCAGCTGCCCGACGGCGGCTACTACCTCGATGCCGAGCTCTCCGAAGCCTGCTTCTCGCCCTCGTGGTGGCGCTACCTCCCGCTCGCCATCGCCGGCTTTGTCGTCTACGTTCTCTTCATGCCCACCTACTTTGCCGCCATGCTCTACCGCTCGCGCAACTCGCTCGAAGACCCCACAACCCTCCTCCGCTTTGGCTCCATCTACAACACCTACCGCCGCCACTACTACTGGTACGAGGTGGCCCTCCTCGTGCAGCGGCTCTTTATCGTTGTCGCCTCGCTCTTCTTCTCCAACATCACCGTATGGCTCTTCTCCGGCCTCATGACCGTCTTCCTTGCTTTCCTCATTCACCAGCTCCGCGCCTACCCGTTCTACGCCCCTGCCCATAACCGGCTCGAGACGAGACTCAACATCTGCATCGTCGCTCTCATTCTCTGTGGCATCCTCTTCTGGGCCGACGACTGGCCAAACCGCGCCTCGTTCTGGGTCGTCGTTGGCGTCGCCGTTGCCGTCATCGTCACCGCCGTCATCTTCCTCGCGTCGTCCGCCATCGCCGAAGTCTCCGAGCGCCTCCGCAAGCCCTCGAGCTCTGGCCACACTCTTACTGCCGCCCATGACGTCATGCTCGTCTCTATGCTCAACGCCCACTATGCTGACGTCTCCAGCCCGTCGCTCAAGACCGCGCTCAGCTCGGTCGTCTCGGGCCGCGGCGCAGCCTTGGTCGCGTCCGCAGCCTCATCGTCGTCGTCCGCATCCTCCGCCTTGGGCGACGAGGTTGTCGTCACCATCTCACCCGCCATCCTTGGCTCGTCGAGCTCGTCAATGCTAGACTCACGCGCCGACCACCGCGATGCGAGCGGCCTGACCTCGGACGACTCGCTCACTTGCATGGCTCGCTCCTCGCCGGGCCTCGCCCTCATGGCCCGCGGCGGCCGCCGCGACTCGAACGGGTCTGAGCCGCCCTCGCCCAAGACCGCCGACCTTATGGCCCGCGTCCGCAAGCCAGCCTCGTCACGTTCGGCTGCCACGAGCCGCAGCCTCGCCTCGAACGAACGCTCGGCGTCTCAGCCGCGCCGCGGCTCGCGCACCGCCCGCAACTCGCCCATCATCCGCGCCCTCCACAACCAGCAACCATCCCGCGACCGCCAAGGCTCCGACCCGCCGCTACCCACGCCCAAGCTCAAAACCTCGCACTCGGCCCATCTCCTCCCGGTCCGCCGCGCCTCACACGCCTCGGTCTCGCCGGTCCGCCACCGTAACAAGTCCCGCGTCGCGCCCTCAGAGCACTTGCACTCACCCTCGCCATCACCCTCGCCATCACCTTCGCCATCACCCTCGACCGCTGGCTTTCCGCCCCACCCACGCTCGCGCGACCGCCCCCGCTCCCACGACCGACCCCGTCGCAACTCGCGCCCGACACACACGCCGACGCAGTAGTCGTCATGCTCCACGCGCGTGGCCCACCCGAAAAAGTCAGCCCTCACCCGACAAACCATCAATCAAGCCGTTCATCACTTATTTGCCTTCCATTCGTCTCTGCCGCACCCTCTCCCCGCAGAAAAAAAATGTACATCGCCTTACCACCCTTGCAAGCCCTTCCCTCCCTCCTCCTCCACCTCCTGCCCATGCACCTGCACGACCACGCCTCCACCTACTCACAGCCGTGGCCCTCCAACTTCCTTCCCCTCTGTACAGTATGTTGTGGCACCTGACGCTTGCGCTCCTCCTCGCGTCCGTGCTCTGGGCGCCACCGGTGACTGCCGCTTGTCCGCACGCAAGCGTTACGAACCGGTGGTCGACCAACCCGCCAGCCGGTAGCTCGCCGTCGATCACCACCACCATTCTGCTGGACACCTCGGTGAGTCTCTCTTCGTTGCGTATTCGCAATGGTGGTACGGTCATTCTGGACAACACCGCCATGAACATCGACATCAACCACATCCGCATCGACTCGGGCGGCGCCCTCATTGGCGGCTCGCCCGACTGTCGCCTCACGGCAGACATTGTTTTACCTTTGCTGGCGCCGCGTCATCGATCGACAACCTCGGCAACGGGCTCGGCTCCAAGGGCATTGGCACACACACCGGCGGCACGCTCGAGCTCCATGGCTCGTCGCCTGCTCGGACATGGACCCGCCTTGCCGCCACCGCGCCGGCCGGGCGGACCTACGTCGACCTCGAGGCCTCGGCGTCAGGCTGGAACCCGGGCGACGAGATTGTCATTGTCACCACTGACTTTTACGCCGACCAGACCGAGGTCCGCACCATCACTTCGCGGTCAAACGGGAACCGCCGGCTGCACTTTGCCACCCCGCTCGCGCACATGCACTACGGCGACGGCTACGAGGTCGGCGAGGTTGGCCTCCTCTCGCGCAACATCAAGATCCAAGGCGACGCCTCGTCTGAGTCCTCCGAGTTTGGCGTCCAGATCATCCACAACGAGGCCACCGTCCGCCTCACTGCAGTCGAGATCACCCGCGCCGGCCAGCGCAACTTTCTCGGCCGCTACCCGGTCCACTTTCACCTCTCGCAGGATGTCACCGCCCTCGGCTCGTACATCCGCGACTCGTCTATCCACCGCTCGTACCAGCGGTGCATCGTGCTCCACGACACCCGCTCGCTCACTGTCGACGGCAACGTCTGCTACGACATTGTCGGCCACGCCATCTTTCTTGAGGACGGGCCCGAGACCGACAACGTCATCACCAACAACCTGGTCGTCACTGGCCGTGACGGCTCGCTCCTTCCACACGACAACAAGCCGTCGGGCATCTGGCTCGCGAACGCTCAGAACACCGTCGAGAACTGCGCCGTCGCCGGCTTTGACACCGGTATCTGGGTCGCCCTCTCCGAGCGGGTCATCGGCCTCTCCCAGGCCAAGTACGCCTCCTCCGACATCTACCCGCGCCAGATGCCGCTGACCTCGCTCCGCTCCTGCACCGTCCACTCGTGCCGCGACGGCCTCATGTTCGACTTTGGCCCGCGGCCCGACAACTCGATCGAGCAGGCGGTGTTCAAGCCACGGCCCGGTCCGTGGGACGCGTCGTCATACTCGACCCGCTCCATGGTCGACACCGTCATCTCAGACATTGTCGCCTACAAGTGCACCAACCTCGGCATCTGGTCGCGCGGCCGCCGCTTCCGCTTTCTCCGCCCAGTCATTGCCAACTGCAAGGCTGGCGTCAACGTTGTCGGCTCGTTCAACATCATCGAGGACCTCCTCGCCTTTGAGAACACGCCCAACGTCGGCGAGCCGCGGACTCCACTCGAGATCTCCGCCGGCCGCTCCCTCGCCTCGCCGTCGTCGACCTCAGAGCCTGTCGCCGCCTTTCAGCAGTACGACAACGACGGGCCGGCCTACCTCGACGGCTTCCGTGCCGTTGGCTACACCTCGGATGCCTTCCGCCCAGCCGGCGCCGTGAGCCAGCACATTTGCGCGCCCAACTCGCACACTGCGAGCAACAAGATCCGCGGTCGCGGCAACCTCGGCCCAGTCCTCGACAACTCGCAGCCGGCCTTTATCAAGTTCTGCTCGCCCATCTCCGAAAACGCCGTCCGCATGGCCGTCCGCGACGTCGACGGCACCCTCACCGGCCACGTCGGCGGCTGGATTTTCACCGACGAGCCGCTTATCCGAGCCAACATGCCCTCAACCGGCTGCGTCTCGCACCCTGACTGGGGCTCAGACGGTGGCCTCCGCGTCTGTCCCTCGTTCCCGGGTGGTGTCGCTTCGCTCCGCATCGATAACGAGAACGTGCCCGGTACAAACTACGGCTCCAACACCGACCACGTCCGCGGCACCTTTTACGCGCTCTCCAACGGCGCTGCCGGCATCACCACTGGAGACGGCCGCGGCATCGACCCGCGGGAGTACAAACTCAATGTTGTGCCGCGCCGCGCCTATGCCATGCGCTTCCCGCACAACACTCCGCCTTTCCTTCGCCCGTACCACCACTACGCGCCTGACCTCTCGTGGTACACCGTCGCCTTCCCCTACCCGACCGGGACCACTTTTACCATCACACGCTCTGGAACAGCTATGCCTGCCGCGGCATCGCGCGCCCAGCTCTCCTACGACAACCCATGGATCTTTGAGGGCCGCTGGCTGCACGTGTTTGTGCAGGAGATTGGCGACGCGAACTGGGACCTGTTTGGCTTTACCACGTCCGAGGGCACCGCCTCGATTGACATCCAGGCGTCGTGCGGTGGCAATTGCGCCGCCGGCAACCCAGCGCTGCCGGCAGACATGCCGTGGTCGTACGACACCTACCGCGGCGACCTCCAGGCCTGCCAGGCCGGCTCATCTTCGACGGCTTCAGGTACCGCCTGGTTTGAGTACTTTCCGGCGCTCGGCACCGTCCACTGGAACATCGAGACCTCGCTGGTCGGCATCACGTCAGCGGTCATCCGCGAGCGCGGCAACCCGAGCAACATCATCCGCGACCTCGGCACGCTCGCTGCACCGTGGGAAGGTGGCCTCCAGCTCGCCTGGGTCCAGCACGAGTCGCTGTGGGCCGGTGAGTACGAGGTTGCGCTCTCGACTGCGGCACATAGCCCGGCCCTAGTTGCCCGCATCGGATGCCACGACGGCTCGTGCTCGGCGCCGACCTCCACGCCCGAGCCGGCGGTTCCGTGCGGCGACGGTGACCTCACCTTTTACAAGGACGGCGATACCGAGCCCGGCTGCGTCGACTCTTCGTACGGCCCGTACGACGCCGACGAAAACAAGGGCTACTCGGCCGACGAGCGGTGCGGCACCTCGTCGTACTACTACAAGTTTGGCGAGTCCTCGTGCCTCCGCTTCACCGCCAACTCGCCCAACACCTACAGCATCCCCTCCAGCTCGCGGTACTTTCAGTTCTGGATGCGGCGCGTTGACACCAACCCGACCGCCGTCAAGATCTTTGCCGACGTTCGCTACACCGACGGCTCCCGCTTCGGCAAGGTCTGGCTCGATGCTTCACACTTTCACAACGGTGCCGTGACGCGCGAGGCATGGACCCTGGTCCGCATCCCGCTCACCGAGCTCGGCTTTGCCGCCTCGGGTGCTCGCTCCGCCAACCGCTTCTTCCTCTGCTCCACTGGCTTTTCCGGGTCCGCGCCCAACCTCTTCCAGTCGTACCTCCTAGATCAGGTCGGCATCTACTCGCACATCCCCGACACCACTGGAGGCACCTCCAAGTCGATGTACCGAGTTGGCAACATCTGCACTCCGGCCCCGACTCCGGCCCCGACTCCGGCCCCCACCCCGGCCCCGACTCCGGCCCCGACTCCGGCCCCGACTCCGGCCCCGACTCCGGCCCCGACTCCGGCCCCGACTCCGGCCCCGACTCCGGCCCCGACTCCGGCCCCCACCCCGGCCCCGACTCCATCGCCCACGCCAGGCCCAACCCCGGCCCCGACTCCATCGCCCACGCCAGGCCCAACCCCAGCTCCCACTCCCGGTCCAACCCCGGCCCCCACCCCGGCCCCCACCCCGGCCCCCACTCCAGGCCCAACCCCGGCCCCCACCCCGGCCCCCACTCCAGGCCCGACTCCATCTCCCACCCCGGCCCCCACCCCGGCCCCCGGATCACCGCCGTCGCCGCCTACCCCAACTCCCACCCCCACGCCGACCCCCACCCCCGCCCCGCCTCCATCCGTCACGCCCGCCTCTTGCGGCTGGGGTGAGGAGGTGAGCGCCACCAACACCTGCGTGGCCAAAATGGTGCACTCGGTCTCGTACTCGGGCACGCTGGTGCAGGTCGGTGACCGCGCGAACCCGACGTCACCCGTTTTTGTCCGCATAGCGCTCGGCGAGATGACTGGGCCGATGACCGTTGCCGCAGTGCCGGACGCGCCCGGTGCGCGGCTGACAATCAGGACCGGTAACTCGGGCGCCGTCGACCTCGGTGCGGCGTCGGCGTCGGCCGGCGGCCAGCAGGTCTCGTACACTGTGCTGGAGACCCGCGCGCTGTCGGAGATGTATGTGTGGATCGACACCTCGGTGGCGACGTCAGTCGCATTCATGGCGATCGAGGGCAACCAGGATGCGCTCGACGCGTCGGTTGCGGCGTCCAACACGCCGTCGCCGCCGTCATCGTCAGGCATCGGCGGCCTGTCAATGTGGATTTTCATCGCCGCTGGCGCAGGCGTCGTCGTCCTCGTCGCCGCCGTTGTCATCGTCCTCGTCGTTCGCCGGCGCAACGCCGATGCCACAGACTTTTTCGACTCGTTTGCCACCACCGCGGCCCAGCCCGGTACCGAGCTCTCGGTCATCATGGCCAGCGACAGCTCGATGGTGACCAAGCCCGGCCTCGACACCTACGACTCGTACGATCCAGCGCCAGCAACGCTCAGCACCGACGTCGGCGCTGCCGCCGCCGCCGAGGCCGCTCGCGTCGTCCTCGAAGTTGTTGTCGCTCGCTATCCCTTCCACGGCTCGTCGGCCGACGAGCTCTCCTTTGCCCGCGGCGACAAGCTCTCCATCTTTGCCATCTACGACGACGGCTGGGCGCTCGGTGCCCTCGCCACTGGCGCCGAAGGCGTCTTCCCCTACAACTACACCGAGCCCATCCCGGCCCGCCCCGTACCCGCTCAGCCGCGGCTGTAAATGTCCCCCCGCCCTCCTCACTGCCTTGTGTCGACCGTCTCGCGCCGTTTTCGCCATGGAACATTCAGCGGTTGGCAGCCACCCACCCCCCTTCTCTTACCCAAGCCAACAACCAATCATTCATTCCACTCCCCCAATTGGCCGAGGCACCACCGGTAGCCGACACGCCATGCGGGTCGACGTGGTGCTCCTACGCGACATCCTCTTCCGACAGAGCGCACAGAGCCAAAGCGAACACGTATGCCACCCCTCACCTACACCCCCCCCTCCTACCCATACACACGCACGCACACAATGTCACCTCCTCTTCCTCCTCCTCCTCCTCCTCCCCTCCTCCCGCCAGGCCACGCCACCACGCCACCACACCACCACGCCACACCATGCCACCAAGCCACCACGCCACCACCATGCGCCCTCCCCCTCCCCCCTCCCCCCTCCACTCACCCCCCCCCCCTTCCTCCCCCCTCCCCTAGTCGAACAAACTCAACGTGGACGCACGTGCCGAGGCGGCTCGGCTGTACGACTCGATGTACACAACCGAAGGCCTCGCCGGCTTGCAGTACTGGTTCTCTCTCCGTGCGACAAAAAAGCTGGTGGGCGCATCATCGGTGCTGACCTTTGGAGAGGACGAGTTTGTGCTGTTTGGTCGCGAGGTGACTCAGCTGACCGATCATCAGCTTCTCGACTGGCTCGACTACCTGGACGTGGAAGATCAGGGCGAGCTGTACTTTGAGCAGGTCTTCATCTTTATCGCCATTGCGCTCTCTGCCTACGGCAAGGTTCTGACAAAGTTCTGGTTCCGCCACTCGAGCGCTATCTGGCGCATGCTCCGCCTCGACTCGGTCCAGATCACCACCGCAGACCTCGCCACACGCCTCGCCTACTTTCTCAATATCAGAGAAAAGGTCATCCTCGTCGAGATGCGCCAGACCATGTACAACCCGGACGCTGTCACCTACGACGACTTTGACGCCTTTTACTTTTCCATCTTTTCCCAGTACGACGCTGACTTTCCGGCCTACGAGGCCATCCTCGCCCGTCCCGAGCCGCGCCAGAACGCCACCGATCCCAAGGAAGCCCCCGATCCGGAGCCTAACTCAAGCCAGTGCTGCTGCATCATCAGCTGATGGCTTGTTTTCAGCTGTTCTCCACCACACCGCAGCCCGCAGGTGGCGTTGGCGCTGATGCCAAGCCCTGTCGCGCGCGGATTGCTCCATATCCACCCCACCCCACCCCCCTCCCCCTCACACACACACACTCTCATACGCACACACACAAACGCACACCCATTCACAAACACCACTTTACGACGCGCCGACTACTTGTCAAGGATGGCCCCCTCCTCGTACATGGCCTCGATCTCGTCGGCAAAGAACTCAGCAGCGACCGAGCGCTTGAGCTTCTGCGTCGGTGTCGTCAGCTCGTCGTCGCCAAACTCACGCGGGTGGAGGTAGACGTTGATGGGGATCTCAAAGCCACGGAGCTTCGGGTGGCCGTCCTGGCCTGCGGCGCGGCCCTCGGCCACCATCGAGGCGAGAATGGCCTTGCGGAAGTCAGGCGACGAATAGAGCGAGGCCTTATCCTTGCCCTTGCCCTTGCCCTTGCCCTTGCCCTTGCCCTTGCCCTTGCCCTTGCGAAGCTTGTCGGCGTTCTCCTCGGCCCAGGCGGCGGCGGCGTCGGCGTCGGGGACAACAACGGCCACCACCCGCGGCTGGAGCGAGTCGCCGTGAACAAAGACCTGCGCGACAAGCGGCGAGAGTGCGAGCACGCCCTCGCACTTGTCAGGCGCGACGTACTCACCCTGCGAGAGCTTGAAGAGTGCCTTCTTGCGGTCGATGATCTTGAGCTGGCCGTCGGGCAGCCACATGCCAATGTCGCCAGTGTGGAGCCAGCCCTCCGAGTCGATGGTCTCGGCCGTCTTCTCGGCATTCTTGTAGTAGCCCGACATGACGTGCGGGCCGCGGAGGCAGATCTCGCCGCCTACCTTGATGTTGCCGGCCTTGCGCGCCTTGCGCGGCACCTCGACGTCGTCCGGGTAGTAGCCCATGTCGGGCACCGAAGCGAGCGCGATCTCGCCGCATGGGACCGGGAAGCCGACGTGGCCGACGGTAAAGTCCTTGGCGTCGGTCAGCGTTGCTGCCGCCGTGCACTCGGTCTGGCCGTAGCCTTCAAGGACGGTGCAGGCAAAGGCGATGCGGAGGAACTCCATGACGTCCGATGAGAGCGGCGCCGAGCCCGTGACCATGATCTTGACTCGCCCACCGAGCGCAGCCTTGGTCTTCTTGAACACCAGCCGGTCCCACACCATGTGCGTGTTGTTCGGCTTCTTGCAGCACCCGCGACAGCAGCAGCAGCACCCGCCCTTGCGCATGTTCTTGAGCTTCGTCTTGTACGCCCGCCGGAACAGCATGGCCTTTGTCCCGCCCGTCGCCTCCACGTCGCCCATCACCTTGGAGTAGATCCGATTGAGCACCCGAGGGACCGCCGGGAAAATCGTCGGCCGCAGCTCCTTGACATCCGCCAGCAAGTTCCGCACGTCACCGGTAAAGAACCCGATGGCCCCGCCCGTCACCGTCACCCCAAGCTGGATGAGCCGCTCAAAGACGTGCGGCAGCGGGAGGTACGAGAGATGGACCTCGCCAAAGCGCTCGAGCTTCAGCCCGGACGCCATCCCGCCCGCCAGGTTGGCCACCAGATTGCCATGCGTCAGCTTGACCGCCTTGGGCAGGCCTGTCGTGCCCGAGGTGAAACAGAGTGTGTTGAGCGTCGACGCGTTGAGCTTGCGCTGCGAGGCAAACTTATGCACCTTGCCCTTGGCCCCGAGCGCGTACATCTCGTCAAACGAGTAAAGCTTGATCCCGCGCGCCTTGGCCGTCTTCTTGGCCGCACGCGCCGCCTTCTTGTCCACAGACCCGTTCGGGTAGACCACGTACTTGAGCGTCGGCGTATCCTCTGCCACCGCCAGGATCCGCGGCAGGTTCTTACCCGACGCCACCACCACGCTCATCTCCGCCATGTCGATGCAGTACCGCAGCGCCTCCTCGCCAAGCGTGTCGTACATCCCGCCCACAGCCTTGCCCATCGCGTTGGCCGCAAGCTGCGCAATCACCCACTCCTCGCAGTTGTCCATGTACAACCCAAGCACCTTGCCCATCTTGATCTTGACCAGCGCAGAGCCAAAGTGCCGCACGAGCTCCGCAACCTCGCCATAGCTCTTCCACTCAAACGGTCCAAACTCGGCCGCCTCGCCCTCGTCCGCTGCCTCGGCCTGCTCCGATCCGCTCGACGAGCTCGACGAGCTTCCCGACGATGAGCCAGTGCCAGTGCCAGACGAGGCGGCAGCCGCAGGCGCGCGACCGGGCGAGATGAGTTTGCGGCTGCCGAGGAAGGGCGCATCCGGGCGGGCCGCCACCGAAGTCATGAACGCGTCATGGGTGGTCTCAACATCCGGGTACTGGGCAGGGCGAGTGATGAGCTCGTCGTCGGGCCCAAGCAGCGGCGAGCGATGCGGCTTGCCGTCGGGCGGAAAGTTGTCGCCCGACGCCGAAGCCGCAGACGACGAGTACGAGTCGGACACATACTCCGAGCTAGCGTCAGAGCCATACGAGTTTGACGAGTCAGTGCCAGACGTGGTAGACATAGTCTTCAGAACTCTCTCCTCGAAAAAGAGTGCGGTATGCTCGTCCCTCCCTCCCTCCCCCCCCACAAACGCCTGCCAGCCTTTTTCCTTCGGTGGCCGTTACTGATGCGCATTGGTAGCGTTTTTTTTCGGGAGAGGGCGTTTGCTATTTTCTTCCCCAACCAACTCTGCTCCCGACTGACGCCCTTGCTTTCCTCTTGCCTATCCAGCCTAGCTCACGCCTCCCCGTGATGGCCCATGCATCGGGGCTTGGCTGGGCAATGGTGGCTATACATAGAGTGGCGGAAGGAGATCGAGTCAGGGAAAGTGGCCTAGCCAATGCACTGGGTGGTTGAGTTTGCCCAGCCGGACGATCAAGCAGCGGAGGGAGGGAGGAGGAGAGGGCGATTTAGAAATGCTGGGCCCATAAGCGCGGACAGCGAAAGGCTGCAGCGAAAGCGATGGTGAAGCGCATGTTGAGGAGCCGGTGTTGAAAGGGTGGCGAGAGCGCAGGTCGTGGTGAGCGGGAAGAGAAACATACGCATGAGCTGGTTTTTCGATCGGAGATCAAAGAGGAAGTCAAGGCTCTCACACATGCTGCCGCGCTTTTGCCTCCCTCCCACCCTGCCGCTTTACGTATGGACCAATGAGCACCGAACGTGCGTCCTAGGTAGCTGGCAAATGGGATGGTAATCGAGAAACTTGTCATCAATCGCGCCACCCTTGCCGCTACCCACTTGCTCCGTCTGTAGCGTCACTAATCGTCATCGTCGTCATCGTCGTCGTCGTCGTCGTGGAAGAAGCGCGGCATATGTGCCTTGAGGCGGTCGCGGACAGCCTCGTGGGCCTCGTTTTCCTCATCGTCGTCAAAGACTGAGGGAATGTACGTCTTGAACGCCGAGTTGAGGACCGAGTCCGACTCAAAGCCATCATCGCCCAACGTGTCCCGATCCAGCAGTCGCGGAAGGATGCCCTTCATCTGTTCCGGCAACGAGGCCTCCGGGGCGAGCGAGTCATACCATACCATAATGCCCATGCCGGCCACCACGGCCAGCGCATGACTCACTGCCGAGCCAAAGGAGAACCACGACGAGTCGCTCACCGGTACCCGCGACGACGGCGAGGCGTCACGCAGCTGCCGCACCCGCTTCGGCACCGGCCTTCCCGACACCGCCCGTGTCATGCATTGGCTGTCCATCTCCTCCCCCCGACGAACCTGTGAGTGTGGTAGTGGTGGCAGGGACAGGGGCAGCGGGCAGCGGTAGAGGCAGGACGGGAGGTAGCGTACGTCGACAGGCGAGTGAGGGGTGTCCGGAACATGGCGCGCGCGCGTGTGTTTGTGTGTGTGTGTGTGTGTGTGTGTGTGTGTGTGTGCAAGGTGGTGGTGGATGGAATGAGGGTGAGCGTGGGAGAGACGGGCAGGAGACGAGATGAGTGTGACCTGTGTACGGTGCGTGTGGTGTGGTGTGTGTGGCTCTGTGGGTGGGTGTGAGTGGGGGACAGGGTGGGGCGGGGCGGTTGGGTGCGGGTATGGCACGGTCGTCATGGGTCTGACTATCTCGGCACCAGTCTGCCACCTTGTCCCAATCCCACTCCCCCCCCCCCCCCTCCCTCCCTCCCCCCTCCCCCCCTCCACCATCACCACCACAGACGACTTCCACTTCCACCAAGCGACCATGCCATGGACGCATGTCTCCACCCACATCACATACCCCACCATTCAATCATCAATGAATCAACCATGTTACCAACATACACCACCACTCAACTCCAGCACCGACTATGTCAGAGCCAGTACGTCATCCCCCCGCCACCACCACCACCACCACCACCACCACCACCATCCCCACCCCCTTCACCAACACACACTCCCTCCCTTCCCTCCCCCCCTCCCCCCCCCCCCCCTCCCCCTCCTCCTTCCCGCAATGGCTGTGGTGGTTCTCTTCGACGAGGCTGACTCGTTAATTTCGACAAAGTCCATCCCACCACCCGCTGGGCATGGTGGCGGTGCGGGTGACGGGGATGGGCACAGCCTCGAATGGCGAGAGACGCCAGAGCAAGAGCAATGTAGACATGTGTGGGGGTGTGGGGGTGTGGGCTGCTGTCTCTGTGGGTGAATCGAATGCTGCGTGTTCTTACCTGCTCTCTCTCTCTCCCCCCCGTACCTCGTCCCCCCCCTCCCCTTCGGTCGTGGTGTGGAACAGGTTCCGGAGCTCAGCCTCCCCGCCAAGAAGAAGGGCAAGAAGAAGCGCAAGACCGGCTCGGCGGCCGCAACGCCTGCCGCAGACGAGGCGGATACCGCTGGTAACGATGCCATGCCCTCGCTCGGTCTTCCGTCCAAGCGTAAGAAGCGCCGGAAGAAGAAGCCGAGCGCAGACTCGGAGGCTGCCGACGGCGCCGACAACGGCGCCGACGACGGCGCTGCTGGCGGCGACAAGGACCAGGGCACCTTTGTGGCGGCGACCGGCGAGGAGTACGAGTACGGCACTCTGCTCTCACGCGCCTTTGCCACCATGCGCAAGCTCAACCCGAACATCGAGTCTGGTAACAAGCAGCTCCAGCTCGAGGCGCCCGTCCTCATGCGTGTCGGCACCAAGAAGACCGGCTTTGTCAACATGCTCTCCATCTGCGAGTCCATCAACCGCTCGCCGCAGCACGTCCTCTCGTTCATGCTCGCCGAGCTGGGTACCACCGGTACCTTCTCCGGCAACGGCCGCCTCACCATCAAGGGCCGCTTCCAGGTCAAGCACATCGAGAACGTGCTCCGCCGCTACATCACCACCTACGTCCTCTGCTTTAACTGCAAGTCGTCCAACACTCAGCTCGCCAAGGAGCAGCGCCTGACCATGATCGAGTGTGGCTCGTGTCAGTCCCGCCGCGCCGTCTCCACCATTTCCTCCGGTTTCCAAGCACAGGTCGGCCGTCGCCGCAAGCGCTGATTTGCCACACCCTATCAAACACCAACCAACCAACCAGCAGCCAGCCAGCCAGCAGCCCACTCACAAAAGCACATCAGCCCTCGTCTGCCACCAGCCCCGCCGCCTCGACCCGGAATCGGATAGAGCTCGGCGCCAGATGCGGCGCAAAGACCACAGCGAGCTCGCGCAGAATGGTCTCGGCGTACCCGCTCGCCGCACTCGGGTCCGGCAAGATGGTGTCACGCCGCGTGAGCACAAGCCGGGTCGTCACGCACGCCGACCACGCGAGGCCAAGCGCAGGCTGCACACGCTTGTACGACGAGACTGGGAGCGACCGGTTGAGGACGAGCGGGTGCGGGATCCCTGGCATGCCGATGGCATCCGGCGCTGGCTTGCCCATCGCCCGTACCCGCACACCTGCCCGTGACGGCCCCGCGCCGCTGCCGTCCTCGGGCTCAAAGTAGTCGGAGACCTGATTAACAACAAGGACGACGACGTCGAGGTTGGCCGCCAGCCAGCGGAGCTGCTGCGCCACACGGAAAAAGTCGCGGGCCCGCGTCACCGTCTCAGTGTTCCAGTCGTACTCGTTGCGGAAAATGCCGGCAATCGAGTCGATGACGATGAGCCGCAGCGGCCGCGACGCCATCAGCGCCGGCACCGTCGTCGTAAGCAGCCGCCACAGCTCGTCGTACGACCGCGCAGACTCGACAAACACGTTTGCGCCCATATCCACATCACGCGTAAACGGGTACTTGACCGCGTACGCCTCCAGGAGCTGGGCCAACCGTGCTCCAGGAAACGCGTCCTCCGTCCCGATGTACAGCGCGTGCGCGTCGAGCCCGCCCACTTCGACCGGCAGCTGGACATGGAGCGCGGCCTGGAGCACCAGCTGCGTCTTGCCCGTCGCAGACTCGCCGCACACCTCCACCACCGTTCCAGGCACCAGCCCGCCGCCGAGAAACTGGTCCAGCCCAGGATCGCCCACAGACAGCCGCACGTACGAGCCCGGATCAGAGGCAAGGGTCAGCGCCGTCGGCGCCCGCAGCCGCTTCGCATCCGCCAGCGGCACCGCAGCAGCCACCACAGCCTCCGACACCTTGGCCACAAAGTCGTGCACCTCGTCTTCGCTCACGTTGACATGTCGGCTCTTCGCCTTCCGCACCAGGTCCTGCACAGACTGCGTCAGCACGCCCTCCACCGTCGTCACCCCGCTCCCGGCCAGCGCCGTCACCAGCTCCCCGCTCCCGGCCGCGGCTGCAAGCCCGCACAGCTGCAGCGCGTTGAGCGCGTCAATGGCAGACTGCGGTCCCTTTCGCTGCGACGACGGCTTGCTTGCCCCGCCCGTCCCGCTTTCCATCTCCACCGCCGTAGCGTCGAGTCTGCCCGTCACCGTCGTCGCCCGACCGCCGCCCGCCCTGCGACGTGCGGCCAAGTGAACCCAAAAAAGGTCGTAGTTTGAGTCGCCGCCACGAGCTGCCTTCGCCGGTCTAAGGGCAATGCGGGCAGCTAGCGAGGGCATCGTCACACAAGCACAGGCAAAGGGCACACCATGTAAGTTTCATCAGGTGTGCGCTGTGTTTGCAGCATCCTGGCGACGTCGGGAGAGAGAGGGGGGAGCAGCGCTTGGCGCGTTTGCAGCCAGCTGCCGCGCTCAGAGTGACCCTACCGCTGCCTGCTAAGCATGCACCAAAAGGACCTGTACTCACCCCGCCTCCGCTCTTGTGGCCATCTCGACAGGACGGGGCGACTTGAAGCAGCCGAGGGTGATGCATGCGTGACAGCGTCTGCCGCTCTCGTGCGGTAGATTCTAGTGGCGGCGACGGTGGTGGATAGAGCGGGAGTGGCCGACTGACGACACACCCGTCTCTGGACACCATCACTAAAGCCTATGTACGGACCATGTCTTCTCCCCCCCCCACGCATGCCACCCACATGGTTAAGTTTATCACAATCCCTCCTACCTGCTCATGTCGCGCTACACTCACAAAACACCCGCTACATACCATGGGCGACCTTGCAATCCACCGCATGACTTTGATAGGTCTGACGCTCCCGCTCCCGCCACCACCGCCTCCACCGCCGCCCTGGAGCCTATCCTCACGCCGAGCCCCAACCGGTTCGTCCTCTTCCCCATCCAATACGATGACATCTGGCAGTTGTACGTACTCGCTCCTGCCCCCCCCCCCCCCCTCCCCCCTCCTCCAACCCGCTTCCCCCGCCCTCCTCTTCCCGCAAGTCTCCCGCTCCTGTCGCCTGTCGGCCATGGCCGGCTGTAGTAGATTCTATATTTGTGAGCCATGGCGGGCAATTTCGGCGCATGCCTTTTTCTTTTTTTTTCCCTCCGGCCCCCCCTCCCCCATCCCCACCCACATCTCACAACGCCCCGCAGCTATAAGAAGTCTGTGGCATGCTTCTGGACCGCCGAGGAAGTGGACATGGCGACCGACTCGCGCGACTTTGAGAAGCTCTCCGAGGACGAGCAGCGGTTCCTCAAGCACGTGCTGGCGTTCTTTGCTGCGTCGGATGGGATTGTGGTGGAGAACGCGGCGCTCCGGTTCATGGGCGATGTGCAGATTGCCGAGGCGCGGTGCTTCTACCAGTGCCAGATCTTCATGGAGGGCGTGCACTCGGAGGTGTACTCGCTCCTCATCGACACGCTCATCAAGGAGCCGAGTGAGCGGACCCGGCTGTTCCAGGCCATCGACACCATCCCGTGCGTGCAGAAGAAGGCCGAGTGGGCCATGACCTGGCTCGACGGCTCGGAGGTGTTTGCCGAGCGGCTGGTGGCCTTTGCCTGCGTCGAGGGCATCTTCTTCTCCTCCTCCTTTGCCGCCATCTTCTGGCTCAAGAAGCGCGGCGTCGGCATGCCCGGCCTCTGCTTCTCCAACGAGCTCATCTCGCGCGACGAGGGCCTGCACACCGACTTTGCCTGCCTCCTCTACGCTCACCTCAACAACAAGCTCTCCGAGGAGCGCCTCCACGCCATCGTCACCGAGGCCGTCGACATCGAGATCGAGTTTGTGTGCGAGGCCATCCCGGTCTCGCTCATCGGCATGAACTCGGACCTCATGGCCGACTATGTCCGCTTCTGCGCGGACCGTCTCCTCGTCGAGCTGGGTGCGTCCAAGCTGTACAACGTCGCAAACCCGTTCAACTGGATGGAGCTCATCTCGCTCCAGAGCAAGAACAACTTTTTCGAGCGCCGCGTCTCCGACTACCAGAAGGCCGGCGTCATGTCGAGCCGCGAGGAGCAGATCTTCACCCTCGACGCCGACTTTTGAGCAGGCTCCCTCCCCGCACTCTTTCTCAACTCTCTCTTCCGCTTGCCTCCCTCTGTCTCGGCAGGCAGCGCCACTAAATCCCGACTCTTTCATACCTGCCATTCATCGACGGCGCGACTGCAGCCGGAGCGTATTCTTGACGGCGACGAGCTCGTCCGAGAGCGGCAGCCAGCGCAGCGGAGGCTGAGTCTTGGTCACGAGGTACACGTCAGCGTTGGCCATTGTTGCCGCTCCGGCGGTCTTGGCCAGCGCCGCGCTTGCTGCCCGCGCCGTCTGGAGGCTCTGCCCGCACTCGGCGATGACCGCCCGTGTCCCACGCCCAGTCTCATGAACTACCTCACCGAGCGGCAGCGCCGCATGCTTCTCCTGCTGCAGCAGGCTCGCCATTGCCGCCGCGTCGTCGCTCGCGGCGTAGTCGGCCACCAGCACCCGTGACAGGTCTGGGAACAGCTCAGACTTCCACACGCTCCGCACCGGCCGCGATCGCAAGACCCGCATCACAAGCCCGACGCCCGCATCGTCCACACCGACCACACGCAGCACCGTCCCCACTTCATCCGCATCCTCCCCTTGCGCAGACGCACCCGTGCTACCCGAGCTGCCAGCAGGCGAGCTCTTTGCGTCCGCCTCCTCGGCCGCCAGACCCTTTGACCGCTTGGCGGCCGGCGTGTCATCGCCCGCATCGCCTGCATTGCGAGCATCACCCGCCGGACCACTGTTGCCGTTGCTGTTGTTGCTGCTGCTTCGCTTGCGCTTGGCGGTCGACTTGGCAGGCTCAGCCGGCTCAGCTGGCTCAGCCGGGCCGGACTCGCCGGTGTTGACGGCAGCAGAGAGGAGGTTGACGAGCTGGGCCTTGCGGTCGCGGGGGCCATAGCCAATGCCGCGGACGTCGAGAATGGCCTTGAGTTGGCGGACAAGAAGCTTGTTGAGGTCCATGTCGCGGAGAGTGCCGTCAGTCACACTGGCTGCATCCACCTCGATTGTCTTGCCCATGGTGTGGACGAGGTAGCGGAGAGTCAGGTGGTGTGGGCAGACGCGGGAGACGGGCACGGGCGGCTTGCTGGCTGGCCTGGACGAGCTGAGACCACAGCATGTATCATTTTGTTGCTACTCAGTTTGGGCGTCGTGTATTGGTTGGTGCCAACAACAGCAGCTACTCGCGCCGTGTCTCGCCGCCGGCGGGCGAGTCGGACGGATCGGGCGGCGGGGGCGGGGAGGCCGGGGCCGGGGCCGGGGGCGGTGGCGTGGCGGTGGCGATGCTGGCCCGTGAGGGAGCTGCCGGTGACGAGAGCGAGATGCCGCGGGCGGACATGAGCTCCTCGAGCGATGGAAAGGCCACAAGTTCCGGGCCAGACGAGTGGGCGAGGGCAGCCGGCTGGAGCGGGCGGGCGGCGACGAGCGACGGCGACGGTGCCACGTTGACGACACTCGGCTGGGTCCGTAGCGGCGGCGAGGCCGGCGCTGCTGGTGGCGCCGGTGCTGAAGACATTGGTGCGGCGACAGGACGTTGCTCGACGTGGGTATGGTGGCTGACAGGGACGTGCGGCGCAAGTGCGGGCGGCGGCACGCTGCGGAGCCCGAGATCCTGCTGAGCGTGGGCGGTGTGGAAGAGGTTGGAGATCGAGTTGCGGTTGAGCGACGAGCCGCTTCCGTACGTCGTGGTCATTGACGGCGGGAGCGGGATCGAGGCCGAACCGGTCGATGGACCGGATGGGAACGGAAAGTTGGGCGAGGTGGTGTGCGCCGAGAGCGGCGCGATGCCGCGGGCAGGCGGCGGAGTGCGGCTTGCGGCAGCAGCTGCCGTCGTCTCACGGATCCAGGTTGCTGGCGCTGGCGCCCGCAGCCGCGACGGGCCAAACGCCATGGTCGGCGGCGATGGGACCTTGGGCGGCGAGAAGAGCGATGAGACCGACGCCCGCCGAGTCGACATGGCCGATAGCCGGGACGGAGATGCGCTCGAGATCGAGAGTGGGCTGGCAGAGGCAGAGCTCGTGAACAGCCGCGACGGCGAGAGGAGCGACGGCGACGAGCGCACACCGGCCACTGGCGCTGGTGCTGTTCTCCGCGGTCGCATTCCGCTCAGCCGGCTCGACGCGAGCATGCCTGACGACGTTGCCGGCGCCCGCGCGGCGCCGAGTCCAGCAAAAGGCTTGCGGGATGCGGCGTAGGAGAGGCTGCTGGTGGGTGCAGGCGCGGGCGCGGAATCGCTGCTGACGGCACCGGCGGCTTGGGCATCGGCATGGTTGCCGCCGACGACCGGAGCGGCGCGTCGGTGCTAAACATGGACGAGTTAGGCGGCGGAGACAACGCGCGGTCCGGGACGGGAGTCGGTTGATGCGGCGATCTGTCATGAAACAGACTCGCTGCAGCTGCGCGCGGGGACGAGCTGGATGCCAACGGCGGAGCAACCGCGGCAGAGGAAGCAGCCGCGGTGATGGATGAGGCGTCAAAGAGCGACTCGGCGCGCGGCGAGCCGATGCCAGCCACCGCAAACTGACGTGTCTCTTGCTCCAGATCGCCAAAGAGCGAAGCCGAGACCCGAGCGGTAGGCTTTTGGTCATGGTCGCTGCGGGAAGACCGATCGTGCTCGTGTGCACTCGGCGACTCTGACCGCAGCCGCGACTGCAACTCGGTTCGCGAGGGAAAGGCCGACTTTGCGCGAGTCGAGTCGGAAAATATGGGCACGTCGTCGGCCGACTCGCCACCGGGACGATCAGCACCAAAGACGGCCACAACCGGCGAGTGGCCAAACTTGCCATGTGTGGCAAAGAGCTCGACGTCGGCCTCCAGATCGTGACCCTTGGCCGAGTACCACGCGCCGCCCGAGGCATCCAGCGGAGCGCGATAAAAGTCCGGGACGGCCGACGGCGTACCACCGCGGGCCGAACTCGGAGAGGCGAGCGGCGATGGAGTCATAGGCGTCTGCGGTGGTGTCTCTCCCTCCAGCGGTTGTCTCCCTCCTCCTGTCGCTCGTTCGCCTTCGCTCACCGTCCGCACCTCTGCCGCTGCCAGCATGGCCATCAGCGCAGCCTCCTCCTCTGGCACCGGGGAGGTGGAGCGACTGTTGACAGTAGGCATGAGTGTGAATGTATGTGGTGCATGGGTGTGAGGGGGGAAGGGGAAGGGGTCGGGGAGCGGCGTACGCTGTGGGGGTGGCCATGGCAGTCGTTGTTGAGTGAGGTGTCCGTTGATTCGGGCGAGTCCGGCGAGTGTGCAATGATGGTTTGTTGGGCAGGTAGTCGAGTAGCGATGGTTGGCGGTGTGACCGTGGCTGCCACGTCGTCCGGCGATCACACCAGGTGCATCCATCACGGCTACGGAAGGCCGTGTGCACGGCAGAGGTCGGGAGGGAGCGCATCGGTGGCTGGCGGGACCCAGTCGACAATGACGGCCGCACCAGAGTCGACAAAGCCGGCCATGTACTCGAGCGGAAGCTCAGGCGCAAGCCGCTCGGCCTTGGAGGTGATGCGGAAGACGCCCAGCTCGAGATCGCTGTCGGCAGAGCCGCCGACGACGTCGGCTACAGCAGCGACAATGTCGGTTGGGGTGCCCTCGCGCGACACAAAGACCGCAACGCCGAACGGGAGCTCGAGGGCGGCCGGCAAGTGGACGTAGAGGTAGAACCGCCGATGGTCTGGAATGGCAGCATCGCCCTGAGCCTCGCGCTGCAGTCGAGCGAGGGTAACAACCTGCGCCGGCGGCGCGGCCGGCTGTGGCACGGAGGACCGAGCTGGAGCCAGCAGAGGGGCTGGCGCAGGGGTGGGCGCAGACTGCAGCTTCGACTGCGGCTTGGGCGCGGCTGCAGCTGCGGCCCGGGCACGGCGTTCTGCAGCTATTGCCGCATGGGTGGCCGCTGCTGAACGACCAGTGTTCCGCGGGGCGGTCCACCGGGCACGGGCATCAGCGCGGCGGGCGGCGGTGGGCGAGTTGGGGCAGTCATGCTTGAACCGCAGATGTGTGAGGCAGTAGGCACCGGAGCAGTACGGGCACTTGGCCACCGTCTCGCGCTTGTTCTTGCACTTGCGGACGCCACACTTGTCGTTGTACTTTGACTTTTTCGGCGAGACGTCCAAGATGTCCGAGGTGCACGCCGACGCGATGTGCCGATCGATGGTGACCGAGATGTCCTCGCCGGTGTCAAACACGATGTACGCCTCGCAGAGCGGGCACTGTGGCACAGTCTTGTTGACAATCACTGCATCGGGGCACCGATGCTCGCTCGTCTTGAAGTGGAGGTTGCAGAACGGCTGCGAGCAGTGCCGGCAGATGATCGGAAGGAAGTCGAGCTGCCGGCACTCGGGCCATGTGCACTGCTCACCCACGTCTGGGAGCTCCATGCTGAGATCGGTGGACGGTCAAGATTCAACAGAGTCACGTCGAGCTGCCTCCACGTGTGTTGACAAAGGTATGCCTTGCTCCGAGTCTGGGTCTCGAGTCTGGGTCTCGAGTCCGTGTGGCTCGTGCTCGAGTGAGGTGTGCCGATCTCGTCACTTCCCTTATCAACTCGAATGGCGTTGGCTGATGCTGGTCGCCTGGTCGCCTGGTCGCGAGCAGATTTCATCGAGGCGCATTTGGGTCACAAGCCATTGATAAGCCACCCAGAACAGGTTGCCACGGCGTACCCCTCCATCCTCATGCGGGGCATTTGTTTTCGTGGACCATCGCCTCGCTCGTGCTTGCACTTCATGACTATGACTCGCCCCTGGCCCTTGCATCAATCGCCAATGATGGAAGCACTCGCACGGCTGGCGCCATTCCTTCTTTCCTTCCTTCCTTCCATTCCATCATTCATTCATACGTTTATTCGTTCGTTCGTTCGTTCGTTCGTTCGTTCAACTGTGTCTTCAGACTTTGATGGTCCGCTTGCTCGTTCGTGCCGGGTGCCTCGCAGTCGACAGAGGGCACACGTCTCCACACCCCACACACATATACAGATGGCGACGCCTACATCGCCGCGAACGGCGGCCAAGGTCAAGCAGCTCCGGAGCATTCTCCCGGGCCACGCAGACGAAGACATTGCATACGCACTCTCCTACGCCAACGGCGACAAGGAGCAGGCCGTCACCTACCTCCTCGAGCGTACGTCTTCCAATACAGTCACCACCAACGAGTGGATGGGCGGCCAAAAAATTGGTCCTTCCTCACACCCCCTCCTCCCCCCTCCCTCCCCCCTCTCTGTCACCTCCCCACCCTCCCTCCCTCCTACCAGCCTCCACAACATTGCCTCTACTGTTCTCCCCCAATTCCCGTCCTTCTGCCCTTCCGTATCCGCCCGGTAGGCCTCGTCCAACCTTGAGCTCCCACTTGCCAAAACGAACGCGACTCGGTCGGTCGCTGACATGGCCAAACCAAACCCGCTCCCGCGCTCGCCCCCTTTCCCCCGCCTTCCGCCCAGGGAGGTCACACTCGCGGTCGGCTGGCACGGTAGCAACAAGTGGCACGTATTCCACGTATGGGTCTTGCACACAACACGCCTGTTGCCCGGGCCGCCGAGCCACGAGCAAGGGCAGACATGGTGACGAGGGGGGGGGGGGGGGGGCGGGGAGAGTGGGCGGGAGGCGCTCCTGGTGTGATTGCGACCTTTTTTGGCCAGCGTGAGCGGGCCAGCGTGTGCGAGTGCGCCAGCCGCCAGACGACTCACGCAGGAGGCATGGTCTCGGAGATACACACAGACGCCAACTCGTGGTCGCAGGTCGAGGACAAGAAGACCAAGAAGCAGAAGAAGAAGGCCGAGCGCGCAGAGCAGGAGCGGCGCAACCGCCGCCAGGGCCGCGGGCGCGGCTCCCGGCGCGACGGGCGTGACGGCGGCCGGCGTGATGGCGGCCGTCGTGACGGTGGTCGCCGCGAGGGTGGACAGCGCGAGGGTGGCCGGCGCGAAGGCGGCCGGCGCGAGGGTGGCCGGCCGATGCTCGGTGCCAACGGGCGCGGGCGGCCGCCGGTGGCTGCAGCCCCGGCGCCGGCGCCGGCACCGGCACCAGTTGCGGCCCCGGCAGTGCCCGAGTACGACGGTGAGGTTGCGGCGCCTGCGCCCGCACCTGTGCGTGCCGTCTCGTCGGGCATGTCGTATGCGGCGATGGCGTCTGCGGGTGCACGCAAGGCTGTGAAGCCGGCGGCGCCTGCGCCGGCGGCTGCCGCCAACAAGACGGGTTCTGCGCCTGGCTCTGCTGCCGACGCTGCACCTGGACAGGGAGCCCGTCAGGCGGGCGCGCCCGGCTCGGACCGCCCTGCTGCGGCCGGAGACGCGAGCGGCGCCGCCGACGAGGAGAAGCGCGCGAAGCGCCCGCGCCGCAAGCGTGGCGGACGCCGCAAGGGTGACGGCGAGGGTGCAGGTGCAGGTGGCAAGGCCGCGGGTGCGGCGGACGCTCCCGCCGCCGCCGCCGCCGCCGCCGCCGCGCCGGCGCCGGCGCCGGTCCAGGGTGACGCCCGGGCCATCATGCCCGAGGCTGCCGCTCCGGGCGCGCCGATCCAGCCGCTCGGCTCGTACGGCCTCTTCCCGCAGGGTGGCGAGGCGACCCAGGGTGAGGCGGCCCAGGCCCCGGCCCAGGGCCAGCAGTTCCCGGGTGCCGGCATGGGCGGCCTCCCCGGCATGGCTGGCATGCCGATGGCTGGCATGGCTGGCATGCCGCTCGGCCAGCAGCCGCTCGGCCAGCAGGCCATGTTTGCGCGTTCGGGTGCGCCGTTCGGCTCGATGATGGGCATGCCGTCGCTCGGCATGGGTGGCTACGGCGGCATGCCGCAGCAGGGTGCGCAGCAGGGCGCCGAGGGTGGTGATGACAAGGCTGCCGCCGCACAGGGTGGCATGCCGCAGCAGCAGCAGCAGCAGTTTGGCGGCTACGACCCGTCGGCGTATGGCGTTCCGGCCGGCGCCGGTGGCGACCTCTCCGGCGGCATGGGCATGCCCGGCATGGGCATGGGTATGCCCGGCATGGGCATGGGTATGCCCGGTATGGGCATGGGTATGCCCGGCATGCCTGGCATGCACGGCGCGGCCGCGCCCGGCATGGACGCCTCGGCCTTTGGTGCCGCCGGCCAGGCGGGCCAGGCTGGCGACGCCGGCCAGGGTGACGCCGCAGACGGCGCCCAGCAGCCGATGTTCGGCATGCACATGCCGATGCCCGGCTACTACCCCGGCTCGTACATGTACCCGCCCGGCGCGTACAAGCAGCCCGCGTACATGGCCCCGCAGTTTGCGCAGAACATGTACGGCGGCCAGGCCTTTGGCGCCGCCGCTGGCGGTGACGCCGCTGGCCAGCAGGCCGGCACCCCCGAGTCCTTCCTCCCCGGCGCCGGCCAGGACGCTGCCGCTGCTGGTGCCCAGGGCGGTTATGACCAGGCCAACCTCGGCGTCAACCCGCTCGGCAACCCGTCGTTCATGTACGGCGGCGCCGGCGCTGGCCTCGGCCAGTACAACCCGCAGGCCGCCTTTGGCCAGGGTGGCTACCAGCAGGCACCCGCAGGTGCCGGCACTGGCGGCCAGTGGCAGCAGTAGTGTGTGTGTGTGTGCTCGTGTGAGCACGCATCCGCCCGTTTTGACATCTGCATGGTAAACTGGTGTGGGGTTGGTTGGACGCGCCCGTCAGCTAGGATCATCCTGGGCAGCCAGGAACAGTAGCCAGCCTCTTACCCCCCTCGAGCCCATACACAGCCATACACCCCACCCCAACCCACACCCATACCCACACCATGTCTGCCCCCAGCACATCTGCCGTCGAGGACATGGTCATGCAGTATCTGTTCGAGCGTGGTCTCCATGGCACCCTCCTTGAGCTCGAGCGCGAGGTAGGCCGTGAGTACGCTCCATCGGGCGAGCCGCAGATGCTCATCCGCTCGCTGGCACGACTGGCGGCGCTTCTGGATGTGGTCGAGCCGACACTTGCTGCCGATCCCGACTCGGATGATGCTGTACTGATGGCGGGTCTGCCTGCTGGCGACATTGCCTTTGTCGATGCTCCCGCCGCCCATCAACTCGCGCCGCTGCCTCACCCGGCAAACGTCACCAGCCTCGCCTATCTCGGCCCGGGCCGGTTGCTGAGCGGATGCGTCGACTCGACGCTGCGCCTGTGGGCGCCGAATGAGTCGCGCGACGAGCCGGTCGCCACCCTTGCGAGCGTTCTCGCCGGCCCGGTCGTCGCCATGGACGCGGCGTGCGAGGCTACTAGCGGCCCGAGCGTCATCGTCTCTGACATGGCTGGCGGCGTGGCGCTGGTAGCCGAGACCGATGATGGTGGCCTTGTGGTAGCATCAAAGATTGCTGCTCACAGCGGGCCGGTCTGTACCGTGGCGATGGCTCGCGACGGATCGGTGGCGGCGTCAGCGAGCTACGACCACACGGTCGCGCTCCTCCGCGACGGCGCCGTTGTCCATCGCGCCAGCTTTGACGCCAACATCGAGGGCGTGGTGTTCCTGCCCACAACCTCGGGCGCACCCGAGACACTTGTGGCGGCGCCGCGCGAGTCGCCGGCGCTCAGCCTCATTGACGTTGCCAGCGGGACGGTGACGAGCTACAACATGAACCCGCTCGGCGATGCCTGGGCAGACTACTCGGTTTTGGATCTGGCGGTTCCGTGCCACGACGAGTCGTTCTTGGTCATGGCCACCACTGACAAGTCCAAGAGCCTGCTGTTTGACGTGCGGACGCCCGGCGGGCCAGTGCGGCACATGCGCGGGCCGGCCAACAACGGATACGCCCTCCCGGCGTCGGTCTTTACCCAACGGTACTTTGCAGTCACTTCACAGGACCGCTCCATCTACGCCTTTGATCTCGGCACCGGCGAGCAGATGGCAGTCCTGGGTGCCCACGAGCACACCATCCGCGACTTGGCGTGGGATGCCTCTGCCGGCTGCCTCGCCTCGGGCGGGTACGACAAGGTGGTGCGGACGTGGAGCGCGCCGGTCTAGAGCGATGCCATGAACATGATCGACGACCGTGCGGCGCCAGAGACCGGTGGCTGTGTGTAGTGCAGCCGCGAGAGCTCCCACACGTTGAGCGAGTCAGTGTCGAGCGCCGCGACCAGCGCGTCGGCCACGGCGCGGTTCATCGGCGAGAGGCTCTCAATGGCGGCGTAGTCACGGATGGGAAGCCACGCAGCGTCGTACAGCTCGTTCGGACACGGTAGCGGCTGGTGGGCGTCGAGGCTGGCATTCGCGTCCTTGAGTCGCAGTGCAAAGACAAAGTAAATGTCGCCGATGCCAAAGCGGAAGCCGTGGAGTTGGCGAACAGCCATGAGGCCAACAGGCTCGGTCTCGACGCCGGTCTCCTCGTAGACCTCGCGGACAGCAGCAGCATGTAGATCCTCGCCCACGTCTGCCGCACCCCCAGGCAACTTCCACTGCGATGGCCGAGCATCGGGACCGTCGCGCAGATCGCCATGCTCCCGCACCACCAGCAGCGTCTCATCCGGTCCGAGTACCAGCCCGCCGCACCCAACCGAGTGTGTAGCATAGAGCGGGAGCGAGTTAGGCGAGTCCCGGAGCCATGCCCCAAGCGTGATGGTGTTGTTCTCCGGTGATGCATGGTGAAGCTTGAACAGCGGTGGTGCGACCGATGACGACGACGGCGATGATGATGACGATGCGAGGGCAGAAGGAAGCTGAGCAGCTTGGGCGAGCGGAACAAGACGCGCAGCAGAAGCAGGAAGGGTGAGCAGGACAGATCGAACGCCGGCAGCCATCCATGCCTCTGCGGCAGCGGCAAAGATGTCGGCAGCCGTGTCATCGGGAATACCGTCTGCCGCAGAAGGAGTTAGCGTCAGCTCGAGGGTGAGGAATCGGTTGAGCACGCCACCGGTAAGCGGTCCAGGCACCTCGAGAAGGCCATTCGAGCCACTTGACATCATCCTTGCCTTGTATGCCCATGGCATGCCGGCAGCGGCTGCCACTGCCTCTGCCATGGGTCTCATTCGCCTGGCCATGCATGTTCCTCCTCGCACAGCGAACATTGGTTGGACGGCAGGCGAGAGCGGTGGCCATCCGACCGGCCGGCTCGTCTGATCAGCTTGGGGAGTGTGGGGGTTGAGGGGTTGGGGGGGGTTTGATGACAGCGATTCCGCCATGGGGGGGGGGGGGGGGGGCTACGCCCGGCGGGATCGGGCAACAAGCTCGGCTTGCTCGGCGCGGTAGGCAGTGTCGGCGAGCTTGACGCTCTGGTTGGCAAAATCGGCCTTGAGCTGAGCCAGCTCGAGTTGGGTGGCTTCGAGCTCGGCGGCAAGGGCGGTGTTTTCGGCAGCAAGGGCGGTGCGGGCGGCACGCTCGCGATCAAGTGCGGCGTGGGCCTCGTCGATAGCAACGTTGAGCTTAGCTTCCCGGGCGTCGGCGGCGGCGGCCTCAGCAGCACGCTCGTCGCGCTCGTTGGTGAGCGTGGCGCGGAGGGCGCGGACAGAGAGCTCGGCAGTCTCCATCCGTGAGTCGGCCGCCGTGAGCGAGGCTGCGAGCTGGGCTGCGTGGGCAACGGCGGCGGCGGCGGTGGCGCCGGCGGCGGCGGCCTCGGCGACCAGGTCGTCGCGCGACATGTTTTCGCGCCGCGCTGCGGCCGATGCCCAGCGCTCGGCGTCGACACGGCGGTAGTCGGGGAGGGCAGCGGCGTAGGCAGCGACGTCGGCGTCGTTGATGCTGATCGGAAAGCCGTTGCTCAGTGTCTGCAGCGCAAGAAGCCGCGCGCCAAACAGCCGCGCTTGCTCGTCGGCCAGCGGCGGCGAGGCGAGGCCAAGCATTCGCCGCGAGAGCTCACCGATGCGGCCATTGATCGAGAGCGGAACAAGAAGCGCAGCTTCGCGGACTGGTTCAAGCGCAAGGCCCGGAATGCGGCCCGAGAGGTGGACGCCCGCAAAGCGGAACATCGAGGTTGAGAACGTCGCCTGTCGCAGCGCCTCCATCAGCTGCTCGTACGACGAGACAGCAAAGAGGAAGATAGCAAGTGACGAGCCGAGGACAACGATGCCGGCAAAGCCGGTCCGCGGTGCAGCGTCAACAAACACGTCGCCCATGGGCAGACTCGCCGGATCGACGGTTGCCAGCTCAACAACCGTCGACGGCGCCTTGGCTTTGCCCTTGGCCTTGGCTTTGTCCTTGCCGCTTCCTCCGCCGGGCGTAGCCTTCTGATGGCGGCCTTCGATGATGGTCTCGACAAGGACGCCGGGCTTTGTCGTCGCCACAATGAGTGCGTGCGGCGCACAGAGAAGCTCCTCGCGCGACCGCGGGCCGGCCCTGCCATCGACCACGCTGTTGTCGTCGTCAGGCGCGTCAGTAACAGCAACAGAAATGACGGCCTGGACCGAGGCAAACACCTTGCTCCCGGCGCCCGTCAGGACCATGGGCAAGACCAGATCGCGAGCCGGTGCAGAATGGTAGGCGGCGAGATCGATGTCTGCGACGGCGACCGGGCGGATTCTCCGCGAGCCGATCTTCTTGGCCTGCATCAATGAGATGCGGGCCGGCTTTGCCCTCAGGGAGCGGCCGTCCTTTGCCAGCAGCATCTTTGTGGTGATCTCGAGCGGGGCGGGCCATGCGCAGCGGAGCATGGCCCCATCGACGGTCGGGGCGAGGAGCGGGGCGTTGGCTGCTGGCGAGCCATGGGTGGAGAGGGTGACCGAGAAGGGGCGGACAGCGGGAGAGGTTGGCGTTGGCAAGGCCAGTGGCTCTATGGAGAGTTGCAGTGAGACCGAGAACGTCTCCTTGCCTGCACGGGAGAGTGTGACGGCCATTGTGGGGTGGAGCCAGGTGGGTAACGATTAGTTGGACAAGAGAATGATTGTTGGAGTGAGTAACGATTAGTTGGACAAGAGAATGATTGTTGGAGTGGGTAACGATTAGTTGGACAAGAGAATGATTGTTGGAGTGGGTAACGATTAGTTGGACAAGAGAATGATTGTTGGAGTGGGTAACGATTAGTTGGACAAGAGAATGATTGTTGGAGTGAGTAACGATTAGTTGGACAAGAGAATGATTGTTGGAGTGGGTAACGATTAGTTGGACAAGAGAATGATTGTTGGAGTGGGTAACGATTAGTTGGACAAGAGAATGATTGTTGGAGTGAGTAACGATTAGTTGGACAAGAGAATGATTGTTGGAGTGGGTAACGATTAGTTGGACAAGAGAATGATTGTTGGAGTGAGTAACGATTAGTTGGACAAGAGAATGATTGTTGGAGTGGGTAACGATTAGTTGGACAAGAGAATGATTGTTGGAGTGGGTAACGATTAGTTGGACAAGAGAATGATTGTTGGAGTGGGTAACGATTAGTTGGACAAGAGAATGATTGTTGGAGTGGGTAACGATTAGTTGGACAAGAGAATGATTGTTGGAGTGACGATTAGTTGGACAAGAGAATGATTGTTGGAGTGAGTAACGATTAGTTGGACAAGACAATGATTGTTGGAGTGGGTAACGATTGTTGGGGTGGCAGCCAACGAACGCTCGAACGAACCAGCAACGGCAAACGGCAGGACGACAGCACCGAGAGCGACGCGGAGAAGGGGGAGAGGGAGGCGGCAGTGGACAACGGCGTCAAGGACCACTCTTCTCCAGACTCGACCAAGCAAGCAAACGGTCGACGATGAGTGCGGAGACGTGTTCCGAGTCGTCGTTCAGCTCGGTGAGCACACGGCAGTCGTACCAGGGCGGTCGAGAGGGTGGTGGTGGTGGTGGTCGGCATGGCGCTCGGCAGCACCATGGGGGACGGCAGATGCGGAAGACGGTCAAGGCAGCTGTGTCGGGCACGAGGCGCAAACGGGCCGGCAACAGCAGCGGGCGGACAAGCACAGGGACAGGCGGACGGGTGGGAGGGCGGAGAGCGACAGGACGGCCGAGGACGGTTAATGGTGGCGATGAGCATACTCGGGCGGGACCGTTTGGAGAAGACGTGACGACGTACCCCTTGGCTTGGCGACATGGTGAGCGGAACACGGTGTATGCGGTCGATGGATCCGAGTATACCGGAGAGTGGCGGAAGGATCTGAGGCATGGCCATGGCGTCGAGATCTGGGCCAACGGCGATCGCTACGAGGGCGAGTTTGAGGACGACATGCGCCAGGGTCGCGGCACCTTTTGGAGAATGGTCATCGTCGACAGTGATGGCCAGGTCGTCGAGGCCAAGGCTGCCGAAGAGGCTGCCGCCAGGGGCGAGACCGCCGGCATCGAGGAGCTGTTTCTCGAGTACTCGGGCGGATGGCTGGCCGACGCTCGCCACGGTCTCGGGACCCGCTACTGGCCCAGCGGCAACGTGTACGAGGGCGAGTGGGCCCACGGCCGCCGCTCTGGCTGGGGCACCATGGTCTACGCCGCCGATGGACTGCGGTACGAGGGCGAGTGGCGCGACGACGAGCGGTCCGGCTTTGGCAAGGCCTTCTTTGCTAACGGCGACGTCTTTGAAGGCTCGTGGTCGCATGACGTCAAGGATGGGCCCGGCCGATGGTACTTTGTCTCCAAGAACAAAATGCTTGAGGGCGAGTGGCTTGAGGACGCAGCGCAGTGCGGCGTTGTTGTCGACATCGAGCTCTCCGACAACCCGGCCGAGGCCAAGTTTGGCATTCCCAAGCTCGGCCTCTCCACCGAGTCGGCCTCGCGCATCATCCAAGACCGCGTCGACGACATCCAGGCCATCCGTGCCCAACTCGCAGTTGTCCGTGCCGAGGCCAAGGCTGCCGACGAGGCCCGCAAACGCGCCGAGGAGCGCGAAGCTGCTCGCGCCCGCCGCCGCATCGGTGCCGAGGGCGCCGTCCGCTCTTCCAACGTCCGCCGCCGGCGCTGGCACCGGTGACAAAGCGGAACAAGGAGATAAACCAGAACAGCTGCGAGAAGAGAGCCTTGCCCCATCAAGGCGCCGATGGGTGGGGGAGACCAGAGCGGGAGTCGGGTCATGTCGGGCGGCGATTCGGAGGAGTCGGGCCACGGCTTGGCAGACCACACGACTCGACTCCAGAGCAGGCGACGGAGGAAGGGCGCGACAAGACGAGGGACGGCGACATGGCTGAAAGCGAGAAGACGGTGGCAACGGGAGGGGTGGTGCGAGCGGAGAGGGTATGGGAGGTGGCGGTGAGGGGGCGGAGCGCATTGGGGACAGCCCGCTGGAGAGCGAGGCGGCCAAGCAGGAGTATGCGCGGCGACTGCGGCTGCTGTTCTCGCCAAAGGAGGTGATCGAGGCCGATGGTCGGCTGCGGCAGAACTACTTTCGTCCGTCCAAGAAGGATTGGGATGAGCACATGGATACGCAGAAGAGTCATAAGTGGGGCGCCAATGAGCGTGCGCTGCTCATCGCTGGGCTGATGCAGTATGGCGTGGGCGGATACACGTCCATGATCAAGGACTTGCTGCCCGGGTGGACCAATCAGCAGCTGAGAGTCAAGACGCAGCGCCTACTTGGTCGCCAGAACTTGTCAGAGTACCGCGGCTGGCACCCGGCCTCGCTGGAGGAGATCGAGACCGTCCGCAAGTTCAACCATGGCATTGGCGTCGCTTCCGGCGCGTGGAAAGCCGGTGTCCTCGTTGCCGACGATGGTGGCCGCGCTGTGGCTGCCATCGAGGCTGCAAAAGCCGAAGGAAAGCCCGGATCGTCGGTTGACATCCTCTCCAAGGAGGAGTACGCCCGTCGCCGCAACGAGCGCCTGACAGAGCTCGCCGCCGCGCGCTCGGGCGCCGGCCCGCAACCGATGAAAATCGAGCTTCTGTCCAAGAAGCCGTCGCCGGTCGGCGTCATGCCACCGCCGAGCAAGCCGGCGGCAGACGTGGTGCCGATGGTCACCAGCTCGACTGCGAGCACAGTGTCCGCCGCCGCCGCCAGCACTGCCGGCAGCGCGAGCACCGGAATCGCCGCGAGCACCGGAGCCGCCGCGAGCACTGGAGCCGCCGAGGGTTGGTGCGTGTGCAACGGCAAGGTGACCGACAAGTGGATCGGATGCGACGGTCCAGACTGTGTCACCAAGTGGTATCATCTCTCCTGCGTCAAGGTAGCGGTCATCCCCTCTGGCTCGTGGTTCTGCCCGACCTGCATCGCGAATGCGTAGTGCCAACAAACAAACACCAGCACCGCCCACCATGTGCTCCAGCCACTCGCTGTACACCATGGCCATCAGATGTCAGATGATGCAAGAATAGGGAGAGATTGGCGCCAGCCAGATCACCAGCATCACCCCCCCCCCCCCCCCCCCCATCGCCCCACGTCGGTCACCACCCAACTCTGCTTGCCGCACCATGAGCCTGCTTGCCATTGCCACCGAGTTTGTGGAGGAGTACGAGAAGACTGCCCAGCGGCTGAAGGTCATTGATGCCTTCCTTGTCACTGCTGTGTTGACTGTACGTGTGTGTGTATGAGGGGGGAAGGGGGGGGAGGGGGGGGTCCATCCCCATCCCCATCCCCATCCCCATCCCCTTCCTGCCGAGGGAGAGGGTGACGGCGAAGAGGCAAAATTTCCCGCTGCGCAACCTGGCTGTGACCACCTGGTGTATGGGGGGGTGGGGGGTGGGGGACGGGGATGCGCAGAGTGGGTGTGGAGGTGGTCAAGGGCATGGGGTGCAGGTGGGGGTGGGGGGGATGCGGGATTGTGGGGGTGGAAGGGGGTGGGGGTATGGAAGGGATTGGCAACAAGGGGACTTATCGTTGGTCGGGAGTGGGCGGAATCGTTGGCTGTGGCTGCGGGGGTACTGGTCGGCATGGATGTGATGCATGTGATCGCTGTGGTCGGCATGGTTGTGGTTGTACTCATCGGCGCGTGGTCGGCATGGTTGTGGTCGTACTCATCGGCGCGTGGTCGGCATGGTTGTGGTTGTACTCATCGGCGCGTGGTCGGCATGGTTGTGGTTGTACTCATCGGCGCGTGGTCGGCATGGTTGTGGTCGTACTCATCGGCGCGTGGTCGGCATGGTTGTGGTCCATGTGTGGTCGTACTCATCGGCGGCGCGTGGTCGAACTCATCGGCGCGTGGTCGGCACGGTTGGCGCGGGGTGATGCATACTGTGTCTACAGGCTGTGGTCCAGTTTGTGTACTGCATGCTCGTCGGCACCTTCCCGTTCAACTCGTTCTTGGCAGGCTTCTTCTCGGCCGTCGGCTCGGCAATTCTACTGGTCTGCCTCCGCATCCAGGTCACTCCGTCCAACAACTATGCCATCTCGGTCGAGCGCGCGTACGCAGACTTTGTCCTCTGCAACGTCATTCTCCACCTTGTTGTCGTCAACTTCCTCGGCTGATCGCGCTGATGCCCCGGCCGTCCCCCCAACAAACACTACCCTTGCAGCAGGCGCCACCTGCGCCATCAGAGCCTCAACCCGCGCCACAGCCGTTCGGATCGCGCTCATCGTAGTCCGCAGCACAGCTTGCTCGCTCTCGAGCCGCAGCAGCCGCGCCCGCTTAGCCGCGCTCGCTCGTGTGAGCTCGTCGCCCTTGCGCTTGAGCACCACCAGCGAGCGTCGCAGCGCATCGCACTCGGTCGCGTCGGCCGCCACAGCCACATCGCCTGCGCTCGCAGCCTCGGCCGAACCTTGCCGCACTCCGCGCCGCACAATCGCTGCAAAGTCAGGCTCCGCTGCGTTGAACGCAGGATGCCGCCACTCGTCCACGCCGCGCTGCTTGCGGAAGCCGTAGTCGGAGAGCCGCCGGACGAGCGCCGATCGCGAGGTGAGCGGGCCAAAGTTGCCGTCGGTAGCCACAGCCAGTGCCTGGCCATCGGCGGCAAAGCAGACAGCCGGCCACATCGGCGAACACGCCACCGCATGCAGTCGTCGCGGAAAGGCCAGCCGTCGGATACGGGCCTCCTCGCTCGGCCCTTCGCCCAACTCGGCTCCCGACGCCGCACCGATCCGCGGTGTCAGCAGCATCGCCTCGAGGCTCGACGACGCCTTGTACTCAATCGGGGGCTGGCCCTCAATCAAAGCACGTCAAATCGTCGCAAGCCGCGAAGGCGAACGAGAGCGGACCCGCAGGCCGCCCGTCATGCTCGTGCTCACCTCGGCGCATCCGCCCGAGCCGGCACCGGCGTACATCTCCTCAAGCGAGAGCTCAAACTGCGCCAGGCCCTCACCCGCCGACGCAACTGCCTCATCCAACCACACTTCTTCGCCAGGCATCTCTCTGCGTCCAAGCGGCGTCATCGTCGTCATACCTGCGTGCTGCGGGTGCATCGCTGCGTGAACAAGTTGGGAAGAAAAAGACAGAAATCGAAGGTTCGACAAAGTTCGAAACGCTTCTCAACGCCGAGCAGAGAAGAGTTTGCTGCAGTGGGACCGATAAGCGCAGCGCGAGGGAATCGGCGGCGTGGATGGGCCATTCGATCGGGTAGTTCTGCTCGGGGGAGGGGCGTCTCATGTGTTGAGACGTCGAGGTGAGGCGAGCGGTGAGGCTATGCGTTTGTTGACGACGGCTCCTGGTCAGCTGGGAGCGGGGCCGAACCGGCGATGGCGCCGGTGGCAGAGACAGCAAAGGCGAGGATGGGCGCATCGACATAACTATCGGATAGCGAAGGCGATACAGCAGCAAGGGCGTCGACGAGAGCGGCGGCAGCAGCGTGCGACTCGCCGGGTCCAATGGCAACGAGACACGGGGCGACGCCATCGCCGCGGGAGACCGACGAGACGATACCGTGAGTCACAAGCGGCGGGAGGGCACCATCGGGCGCCTCAGCGCCAGGCCCAGGCCCGACAAGCGAGACCGCACCATCAAACAGAATGTCCATTAGCGCATGGACGAGGATGCCCACATGGCGGGCCCAGTCGTTTGGTGAGACGTCATCGTGCAGCGGAGCAGTCCGCGCCGCGGCGGCCGCCAGGCCCACCACCTCGGCCACCAGCAGCGCCATGTCTGTCCGCGGCAGAGCATCAAGTCTCGCAGCGTGCTCGAGCCAGATGGCGACGAGGCCGTCGATGATGGCACTCGCATCGGCTGGAGCCGCATCGTCGCCCGGGGCAGCAGGGCGCGCAGAGCGAGCGGAAGCCGGGATGTGTGCAGCAAGCGAGGCAAGGAGCTCGACATGTCGCGAGAGAAGGGCACGTGCCCATGAAGCGTCAGCCAGAGCTTGGAAGGTTGACGTCAGGGCGTCCTCGATCGAGTCCCAGGAGAGCAGGCCGTCGTCGACCAGCCGGATGATGGAGTCGGGAATGGGCACCGTGTACCCGCTTGCTCCCTTTCTGCTCATGCCTCAAACTTGACCCACTACCTGCTCGTGTCCTTGACTACCTCCCTGCAAAATTCCGCACCTCTGCGAGTCGAGTATCGTCCCTTAGCCACCCTCGCCCGTCCCCTCCCTCCCCACTCGGTCCCTCGCGAGGGATCCCTTGGTTTTGCGCCAAAACCGCCGTGCCGGCGAGCGACAGGCGGTGATCAGGTGGGGCAAGGGGGGGAGCAAGTGATGTATGGCGATTGCTAGTAGTGTGATGGCAATTGCCGTTGTCCATCGCGCCGATGCCGCCGCTGTGGTGATCATACGCCGCCCTTGACTCCTCCGATCGGGCAAGTTCAAGGGGTGGGAGATGGCAGGGATGGGCATGGACGCCTCGACAGAGGTCAATCGGGTCGGCTGCAGAGGCCAAGCAATGCATGGTGATGGAAATGCCTGTGACAGCTGGGTTGTGTGGCTTTAATCCCGACGACGACGGCGGAGATTGGGGACGGACCAGCGGAAGAGGCGGACGATGCCGGCGTGGTGGCGGCGGTGGCGGCGGTAGCGGCAGTGGCGGCTGCACCCGAGGCCGAGCCAGATGCACCGCTTCCAGTAGCAGGATTCTGGAGGTAGACGTACGCGACGAGGGCGAGGGCGACCACGCCGGCGGCAAGAACTACCGGCGACTGCATCGGATCAAAAGGCTCGGGCTCGGCAAGCTCAGCGTATTCGCCATCTTCGTCGGCGTCAACATCGTCGGCGACAAACGAGGCCGTGTCTGAGACCGGCTGGCGCTCCTCCGGTGGAAGGAGCAAGACAGTGACGGCCTCGAGCTGCGCTGCGTTGGCGGCAGCAGCGGCGGCGGCGGCGGTCGCAGCCTCGTGATGGGCGAGCGTCACGAGCGTGTAGTTGACGCAGCACGAGCCGGGGATCTTGTAGGGGTCGCTGCCGCCGAAAAGCCGGCGCAGGTGATCGAGAGGTCGGTGGCGACCAGCGGCGGTGTGTGCGCAGCCAGCTCGGGCGTCATCTCGCACTGCAGCTCGCGGAACTCGTTAAACGCGCACGTGGCCGAGACCGGGAGCGCCGGATCGTCGGCGTCGAGGAGGCATGGCTCGTTGCAGGCAAGCATATGGACCGGGCCGGTTGTGATGTGCGGGAGGTCAATGTACGTCCCGGCCTCGACGGTGAACGGCTCCCAGTTGAACGGGAGCGAAGCCTCCTCGTCGGACGTCTCCTTGATCACATCGTACTGGATGACGCACGAGCCGTCGATGACCATCTTTCGGCTCTCGTCGCCAGGGAACGGCTCGCACGAGATGAGCGTCGCGCCGAGGTTGAGGTTCGGGTTGAGTGCGGCCTGGCAGCGCCAGCGGATCGAGCCGTCGGCGTTGAACCCGGTGTTGAAGCACTCGATGCTTGTCGGCAGCGCGTCGGGAGTGACAGTAGCGTCCGAGCCGACGTAGATCATCTGCTTGCGACGCCGCGAGTGAAGCGATGAGGCCGTGGCGTGAGAAGAGAGCTTGAGCGACGCCGTCTCGGACAGCACCACCGGCTGCGGCGTCCACTCCGAGTCGAGGATGTACTTGAGCGAGCACGAGCCCATCAGCGAGAGCAGGTCGTTGTCGGCGGTGTAGCCCTCGCAGAGGACCAGCGTATCGACAATAGTCGCAGTCTCGGGCACATCACTCTCGCACTCCCAGCGGACATCGCGTCCGTCAAAGCCGATGTTGGTGCAGAGCGCCCAAGTCGGACGCAGGCCCACGGCGCAGCCGGACGTCCCGCCCACACACTGCATCTCCACATCCGGCGGATGCCGAGCCGCAACCGTCTGCTTACCCTCCACAAACTTGATCTGTACCACATCACGCAGATTGAACGCATCCACCGCACCGCCACTCGCCGCTGCCCTCCCGTCATCGCCTCGTCGGTCATTCTGCGCCTGCGCAACCGACTCGGCGGCCCTCGCCACGCCCGCCATGCCCACCACGCCCACCAGCACCACCAGCGCCACAGCCACCGCCATAGCCAGGCGTCGTTGCATCTGCTCTCCCTCTCCTGTCGCGCTCGAGACGGGTATGCCACTCGCGCCCCCTACCTCGCCTTCCGACTTGCCTCAACACATCAGCGGCGCTGACCTCAACGCCGCCATTCCACTTTCTTTTTTTTTGGGCACTTGGACTGCCTTCATGATCATTCACGTGGTGGCCACCTGCAGCAGATGGGGAGTCTACGCAAGAGGGCATTGCATGCGGAATGGTATCGCCACTGCAGTATCGCAGCATCAGCAACCGGCGCTATTGGGAATGCCATCATCAACCTTGCCCGCACGCCTGCCAACGTCTTGTGACCATGACGGCAGCGACAAGCCACAATCATCATTATCGTCATGGTCATGGTCATGGTCATCATCATCACTCCCATCATCATGGTCATGGTCATCATGGTCATGGTCATCATCATCATCATCATATGTCCACATGATTCCGCTCTCAGACTATGATGTGCTAGGTTCGGATCGGCTCGACCGTAGGCTCGTCTGGCTCGGCTGTGGCGGCGACGAGACCGTGCCAAAAACGACGACGACCGAGGCCATGTCACCGCGACCGACTCAGCCCATCCCAGACTTATCTACGACGCCCATGGCGCATCTGACCATTGAGAACCTCTCGCTCTCTGTTGGCTCGAGTGTTCTGTTAGACTCGGTATCGGCCCATGCGGCGAGTGGCCAGCGAGTGGCGCTAGTCGGTCGCAACGGGTGCGGCAAGTCGACGCTGCTGCGAGCGGTGGCCGCGGCGGTTGCTGGCGTCCCGTGTGAGCCCGAGGCACCGCCGTACTACGTCATCGGCGCCGGAACCATCGATGGCGGACAGTGCGCGGCTGGATCGGCTGTGCTGGTGGAGCAGGATGCGCTGCAGTGGCGGACGCTGCTTGGTGCCGGCGACGAGGCTGATCTGGTGGCCCTGCCTGTGGCCGATGCCATCGAGTGGGCGGCGGCCGAGGGAAGCGAGACAGCGCTGGACGATGCTGATGGCTGGCGCCGGGTCTGCGTCGCCGCGCACGAGGTGCTCGAGTGGCGGACGGCCGGCTACGATGAGACTCCCATCGCAGAGCTCTCGCCAGGCTGCGCCATGCGGGCCTACCTCGCCATCGCCATCTACCGGTACGGCATCCAGCTGCTCATCCTTGACGAGCCAACCAACCATCTTGACCTGCCGAGCATCATGTGGCTGCAAAAGGCACTGGTAGCGAGCGGCAAGACCGTGCTTGTCGTCTCGCACGACGCCGCCTTTCTCGATGCCGTCTGCGACCACGTGTGGGCCGTCGATGCTGACTCGGGCAGCTTGGCCGTCTCGGGCGCCTCCTACTCGGACTTTCGCCGCGCCGAGGACCTGGCTCGCGAGCAGCACATCGCCGCCTTTGAAGCGCAGGAGAAGCGCCACAAGAAGCTCACCGCCGCTGCCGACAAGCTGAAGCAGGCTGCCGCGTCGGGACAGCGGTTTGCCGGCAAGGACAAGGACAAGCTGCAGCGCGACTTTAAGCGCGATCGCGCCGGCCGATCCGGTCGCAAGGCCAAGGCTGTCGAGAAGCTCCGCGACGGCGGGGGCAAACTCGACAAACTTGTCCTCCGCTCACCGCTCTCCATCGACATCGAGCCGCTGGGCGCCGGTTTTGACTCGTCGCTCATGCTCGAGGAGGCCGTCATCGGCTACGGCGACGCCCGGCTACCGCTGCCTCCGCTCTCGCTTCGGGTGGACTTTGGCGAGCGAGTCGCCCTCGTCGGCTTCAATGGTGTCGGCAAGTCGACCCTGCTGCGGACGCTAATCAAGACTCAGCCGCCAGTGGAAGGCCGCGCAGTCATCGGCCGCGAGCTGTGCATCGGCAACTTGACCCAGGAGCACGAGAGCCTGCCGCGCCACGTCTCTCCCCGAGCACACTTTATGGATCTGACCGGCGAGCCGCGGACCCGGACAGGCGCTCGGCTGCTGCGGTACGGGCTGACTCGCCGACAGGTCGACTGCCCCATCGGTGAGCTGAATCCGGGCGCCCGTGTCCGCGCGCTGCTGGCGAGCTTCTCCATGCGCAAGGTCAACACGCTCATTCTCGACGAGCCAACGAACCATCTCGACGAGGAGGCGGTAGACGAGGTCATTGCCACCCTCAACGAGTTTGCCGGCACTGTTGTCGTCGTTTCGCACTCGCTTGCTTTTCTCCGCGCCCTCGAGCTCTCCCGCATTCTGCGCCTCGACTCGGCCGGCCTAACCGAGGTCGGCTCGCTCGATGCGTTCGTGGACGAGATAGACGACGCCGCTGCCGACGTCGTCGTTGCGTGTGGGTGGACGTAGTCGATGCAAACTACGGAGATGAGCCTGACGAGGCCCCGGTCGGCGAGTGCCGCGCAAGTGCGGCCTGCAACATCCGACTCCGGAGCTCGGACCGGGTTGGTGCGTCCGACCCGTCGCCAGAGAGCGGGGATGCCGGGGATGCCGGGGATGCCGGGGATGCCGGGCCTGCCAGTGTCGCCTCGTCGTAATTGGGCGGGAGGTCGATGGTCGGGCGGGCCGGCGGAGATCCCGCTGGGTCCACAGGTGGCGCTATCGCGCGCGACGCATCCGGGCTTGGCGCCTGTGCTGTCGTCGTCGTCGTCGATGTTGTTGTAGTGGTCGTTGTCGTCGTCGTTGCTGTGTCGGCAACGTCAAAGTCCGACTCGCGGTGCAGTCGCCGGAGATAAAGCGCACGAGCCGTCTCGCGAAGGAACTGCGCGCGGGCCTCAAAGGCCGATGCTCCCGAGCCAGATGGCGCCTGAGATGCCAGCGGCAGGTCGGGAAGCGGCGGTGGCGATGACCGCGCCGAGGTGCCAACAGGCCGTGACGCCGATGATGCCTGCGGCGCGGATGAGGGGGGCGGCGCAGGTACGGGCGCAGGCGCAGGCGCAGGCGTAGCAGTCTGTGGGGGAGTCGGCGCACGAGCGCGCACAACGCCCGAGAGCACGTTTTCGATGGTAATCTCGACCGAGCGGGTGACGAGCAGGTCCTCGCGAACAGCATCTGGGTCAGCCTGTGGGCAAATCTCAATGACGCGGGCGACGAGGGCGTCGAGCTCACGCGCGGCAGGCGAAGACGGCGGAGGAGGTGCCGCAGCCCCGCCGGCAGATGGCGGTGGCGCGCCGCCGCCAAACATGGTGTTGACCACGTTGGCCAGATTGGCCCCTCCGCCGAGCCCCATGGTGTACGTCCCACCGTGAGCGGTCGTCACCGTGTCGATGGAGATGCTCGGCAGCCAGCCTCCGCCAAGTGTCCGGCGAGTGTGCTGAACGCCAGGGCCGTGGGTGTGGGTGTGCGCCGCAGCGCCCGAGGGTGGCGGCGGCGGGCCGTGGCCGTGGCCATGACCGTGAACGTGGCCGTGGGTATGGGTGTGAGTGTGGCCATGGTTGTGCGGCTGAGGCGGCGCGCCACCGCCGCCGCCACCACCACCACCACCGCCGCCGCCACCACCACCGCCACCGGCCGCACCGTTGTCGTTGCCGCCGATGGGTCGACGGCACGTAGGGCACGTCGGGTTCTCCTGCAGCCAGCGGCGGAGGCAGGCAAAGTGCATGAGGTGGCCGCAGGGAAGCTTTTTGGCCGAGGTCATGGCGTCGCGGCAGATGGCGCAGACGTCGTCGGTCTCGGCCAGCTCGGCCGGAGTGGCGTCGGGAATGAGCTGGTTGAGCCGGTGCGAGGCGTCGCGATAGGCAGCGTAGCGGTCGCGGGTGGCTCGCAGCCGGGTCCACACCGAGCGGAGCGAGTAGAGGATGATAAAGTCGACGATGGAGAACGAAAAGCCGTCGATAATGAGAATGTGGACATAATGGAGGAGAGTGAGACCAAGGAGCGACACGTCGGTGCCGTACTCGACCAGGTACACGTAGTGGTCGCGGAGCTCCCAGCCGGGCGGCTGCGACGAGGCGTACAGATCGACCGCGTACTTGAGGAGCGTCTGCGAGGAAGCGATGACCACAGCCACGCACTCAAAGGTAAACAGAATAACAAATCCGATGCCCTCAGGCTCCAGCACAGCGCGGGCAACAAGCAGGAGGCCTGTAGCGGCCACAACCATGGTGAGCAGGAGAGCGATGAGCTTTGAATGCTGGGCAGAGGAGGCGCCGCGAGCGGCCATGACGCCGTAGCGCTCCTTGGCGAGGACAGCAAAGACGCGCATGCTTGCCAGGAGAGAGAACCAGACCAACCAGGCGGCGAGTTCCTTGGCATCGACCACTGCAACAGCGGCGACCATGATGATCTTTGCCACGATAAAGTTCCACAGATAATCCATGGCTCTGGCATGCTCTGCACCCGAGACAGTGCCAAAGACCAAGCGAGCCAGGATCAACGAGGAGACAACCATGGCGAGAATGATGGTATTGAGAGAGATCATGAGATTGGTGGCCGAGGAAAAGGCAAAGCCGACGACAGCAGAAATGATCACACCAATCATGCTGGTACCACTTGCACTCCCTCCCATCCCTGACGAGGCAGCCGCTGCTGTGGCAGTCACCGACGACAACGACGACGACGTCATGGCCGAGGTGGTGGCCACCAGAACAGGGCCCAGTTCCCAGGCAAGGTACCCTACTCCTGCCGCAGAGGCAAAGAGGTATGGCCGCAGCATGTCCGTCATGCTGAGGTGAGTGCGGTGTGCTGCTCTACCGCACAGCCGTCGTCGTTGTCGTCGTCGTCGTCGTCGTTGTCGTCTTCGCTGACCTCTTCGCCGACGTCATGAACTCTCTCTGGCTGACGGCCACTCGGCCACGTGGTGGAAGGGCAAGGATGGGTGGCAGGCCGAGACATTGCATCGCATCACATTGTAGATGGGGGGGGGGGATGGGGATGGGGAGTGGGGAGTGGGGAGTGGGGAGTGGGAGTGGGG